GAGGTGTACCCAGTCTAGTTATTAAGACAACTACGCTCAAAGAAATACTTCGCTATGAGATCATAAGAGTTTTTAATCGTTCATACTTGTCATAATCAAACTACAATGCCTATTATTATTATCTATCCAGTAATAAAAGGTTGGATAGTGAAAACATAGATATGTTTTCTATTTCTTTGAGCGTAGTTGTCTTATTAACTAGACTGGGTACACCTCTATTTAATTAGGATATGGAATATATTGCATTGTTTTGTTTTTTCAGATATCAAAGGTCGAATGAGTATTTTTTAACAAGAAAATATTATATTATACATCCGTGTGGTAACGGATTAAGAATAAAGAGTGTCACCACCCCTATTCATCCGGTGGGTGACGTAAGACCTGACTAAGGGAGCAAACGACGCCAAACAACAGCACTGCAAAGAGAAGGAAAACATGACACAAACCCAATACCAATTCGTCTGGTCAGCGTGGTATATTATGCCAAAACCTCCTTTCTACGGAGAGGCCTATGACCAGTCGACCAGCAGTATACTATTATGAGCTGTTGAGTGTAATGATTTATGGATAGTCGATATCTCAATGTTGTAAGGTATTTAAATCCCAAGGGTTTAAAATTTCATTAATAGAAATACCCTACGTTTATGCCTACTGCTCTGTCTGCTTATACGGATTGTAGCGTGATGTTTACACCTGATATTGTTCCTCAATAAATACGCTATCAATTACAAAAATAATCATTTCGATTATAGTTGCAGAGGTAAGAGAGTTTATACAAACAAACAAAAACGTCTTCAGCATTATTACATTTGTACAGATATCGGTCACGATAACTGCAAAACGCCGGTATTGTGACATAGTCTATAATTATTATGGCCTTCCTCAATAAAAAACCTGTCTAGAACAAAATATTATTTTTAAATTGTAGTTGCCTCTATTTACTATTTAATCAAAAACTTGCTTTAATATAATAACTAGCTTAATGCCCGCGGTTGTGTCAATTTTCCAGGATACATAGTAACCTAAGTCTTATTCCAGATAGTGACTTATCTCTGTACAAAAGTTCGTGAAAATTTATTCAGCCGTTCTGGCGTGATAAGTAACTAACAAACTTTCACATTTACAACTATACGAGTATAATATTAGTGTGGAAAAATTTTAATACCTAGAAAACCTCTTGGAGAAGTAAATAGCGCATGCGTTAACCTTCTTACGAAAAGCAGTCACTGATCCGAGACAGTATATACATCAAAGGAATCCTGAATATTCGCTAGAACTTCGTTAAAAGGAGAACATTTTTATGTTACGACTACTAGCGATCCGACTCGGCTTCGCACGGATACAATGTAGATAATACTATTGTGGAGTAATCAATTATAAGGATGTCTTTATATTCAATATTTATAAGACCGCTTCGCTCCTGCCTCAGATTTCTACTGAGATTTTCACTTTAATGATATGCTGTAAAAGGCAACTTTGATCTACATTAACTGCACAACTTATCTGACGTATTTATTTGGATAAGAAATATTACTATATTGTTAATAATAATAACTTTGTAAATTACCCTTTGTTTTTTTGTATTATGTAAAATATAGGAATGGTAACTGTGGGTTATCCTTAGAAGATAGACATAAACAATCGCGGACTTTTTTGTAGATTTTTTTGAGATATACAATTTTGTAGCATTTTATTTTGATCTATAGGCTGGCTACGTTTGCAATGTAAGCACACAAAAAATTGTTTTTTACGACTTCACATTACAAATCTATATATACTATAATATGCGTGTATTTTACATATAAACCTGCCTCTGTAATATCTCTATTGCTAAAGACCGCATTAAAATGTGTGTATTTCAAAAGATCTAAGCGTACAAGAAAAAAAAGGGTCTTCATTTTTATACTACGAGTATGTAAAGATTACGAATATAGAACAGATATCAAGGGTTGAATGAGACACTATTATATTAATAATTTAGACAAGTCAAAACACTTTACACACTATTTAGCCACTCGTGTATTTCGGGGATACGTAAGTTTGGGGGACGTAAATCAAAGTTTCGGTCTCAATCAAAATTTAGTAGTGTAGTACGGTACGACTGCAGTCCATGAGCAAAATTTTATAGGGTTTATCTGAGAGGAAAAATAGCCTAAGTTACTCCTTATATAGACAGCCACCTGTTAGTAAAATATTATTAAAATCGGTTGAGCCGTTTTGAAGATTACCCGGAAAAAACAGACAGACAGACAGACAAAAATATGAAAACTGGTTTAGGGCATAGGCATCGTGCAAATAAAGAAAGAAAGAAAGAAAGAAAGAAAGAAGAAAGAAAATACGTTTATTAGTCACAACACAAACACAGCCAAAAAAGGAATTACAGATAGAAGGGAAAAAGAAAATAACCGTGTGAGCATGAAAGAAACCTATTATTTTGACATTACAAACAGACACTTTAATTTTATTTATTTGTATAGATGTCATCATATTATACATCGGACCGTGAAGCTAGATGTTAAAGGGGTCCATATAATTTCTACTTCTTAAAATTTCTAATATTATAAACTTTAAGTATACAACATTTGAAACACTTCCGTTGACGTATTTTTCTTAACAATAATAATAATATTCTACCACATTCACACAACGCCATCTCATCTCCCAAACTAAACAGAACTTGTAGGACTATGGGTACTCGACAGACAACTGATATAAATACATCATCTTCATCAACAGCCTTTAATAGTCCACTGCTGGACATAGGCCTCTCTTTAGAAAGGTTTTGGCCTACTATATATATACATATGTACACAATTTTTAAGTATATAAAAATGCGTATAACATATATTTCTCACGTACCTACCTATTGACTATGCGAGACAATCGAAAATCGACTATTAGTATAAAATAGAGGAATAACAAAAGACATCGCGTAAAAATACCACATACCTGCCTACCTACCGATGATCGGCAAGTGATAAATTGGTAATTACCTTAGGTTTCACCCGTTTGGGAAATTACTTTGAATTTCATTTTGACGAATGATTGATTAGAGCACAGCAACTACAGTCATATCTTAAATATACCTACTTATTATAACTTAATTAATGAGATTATTTTCAAATCTAACGAAAACTATCAAAAGCATTGAATAGCAGAGGCTATTTTCTAAAATAGGTACAGGTATACGGGTCGGGTCACCTGATGGAAAGTAACCATCGCCGACGATGAACGTCTACAACTCAGGGAGTCACAAGAGCATTGCTGGCTTTTTAGAAAGGAGTAGGTACGCTCTTTTCTTGAAGGTTTGAAGGTCGTATCGGTCCTATATATGTATATGCATAACCCGCAGCAGGTTAGCTTGATGGATTATGGGCTAACCTGTCATGACTTATGCCTGCATGGGAATAGGTTTTGCGTCTCATAATAGCTGTGAAGGATTATTTACGTTATACAAATACTCACTGTGCTCCAACCGACACGTCTCAGTTTATAAACTCGACTCATAAACGATGACATTCCCTAATAATGTAATTTAATAACACAAAGGCAAATATATATTCTTTATCACGTTTTAATAGATCATAATTCCTACAAATTTTTCCCCTCAACATTTTATACGTAAATAATAATATAATCGCAACATAACTCGAGAACAATCTTCGCATACTCTTTCGAAATGTACTCCTAAGTAGTGCCTACTAAATACATAAAAGATAGAATACATTTGGCATTTTCTGTCCATTCACAAATAGATGAAACAAACATTGATTGTACTCAACGCATAGTCTTGAAAAATGAATGAAGTCACCGCACTAACGTCACAGCCATACTCGTAACGATCAGGTAGGTATACATAGATTTAGTTTAATTCTGATTTGTTTTCTTTTTAATTTATTTATTTATTTCACTCTCACTTATTTATTTTTTGTATAAATAAATAAATAAATATTATAGCTTATGGTTGCATTTAGTTTAATTCTGATTTGTTTTCTTTTTAATGATAACAGAACTTATCCTTACAATCAAATATGTTTTGGATCTGTTAATAGTTAGGCACTTCCCAATGCCTTGTTGCTGTCATGTTATTTAAAGGAGTAGCACACGAGTGTGATGAGTGGAATATGCGAGTGAAAACCACCTTTTTCGAGTAGTTAAAGAACAGCCTGCCGCACGGAAGAAACAACTATAGAGAAACTTTTTCAACGAAAGCTCCAGATATTATAATAATCAATTTTCATGAGTCTCTTCCGTTCTATTATAACGTAACAAATATTAGGTAAGAATCATTTTATAAAAACGTATAGATACGTCGCATAATATAATAATTTATCAGTACCTAAATATTGTGTTAGTGAACTTGATAAATAATAATGAGGTTCAGATTTGTATCAGCTGTAGGTACTCATTACATCCAATTAACGTAGTGGTTCAAGCGGTCGCCATGCCGCTTACTACTACGCTGAGTGTTGTGGGTCCGATCCCCACATGGAAGGAGACTTTGTGTGATCCACGAATTGTTTTTCTGAGTCTGGGTGTTCTTTGTGTCCGTTTCAAGTCCCCCGCGGCACATTATACATTCCTAAAGCGTGAGATGTCTTTTTAAAAAAGAAAAGAAGAAAAGTCACACAGAAACCTGATGCAACGCCACCGCTGATAACACAAGGTCGTCTCAATGTGCAAAACTTTTCTATGATATACCTACCATATTTTAAACGGTTTTAAAAACGTGATCAAGGTCAACGGAGGCCATGTACCAGCGAGCAGGTCAATTTAACATAAGCAATACTCAATAATGTTATCGCATCGTCTATTTTATTTCATAGATAACGTTTATCATTCTACTGATAAGCTAAGTTTTGGTTTTTTATAATGCCTATTGGATTTATAATTTTTGAAGTTAAAGTGCCTTATACGTCAATCTGTATTTATTGCAGTAACTTACCTCCTGGATGCAACAGCGTGCTAGGGTGTACGCTACCATCTCTGTGCAGTAGCACATGGCGTGGCTCGGTCACCAAGTAACAGGTGGAGCCATCGGTCAAGCATCTTTGATAGCAGCGTGCGGCCTGGTAAAAGAGTGCCCACGCGTGCTCCTCGCTGATAGTGGAGTTAAACGCTTGCAAGATCTGCTGCAGCGTTATGCATTCGGCGGCGTCCAGCGAGAAGACCGCCCCGCCGCCACATACGCCCTCCTTGCGCATCATCGCGCCTAGCCCGGGCACCCACCATCCATCCTCAGAACCAGTTCACAACACATCCACTGCGACACCGATCGATCGCACACAATTCACTAGTTGTATAAATACTTCAATAAGAATCGTACCACTGAAATTTTTTTCACAAACACGCTATAAATAATATTTTTACCACATAATACGAATAAGTGTTATTGTCACCGTGTTCCCCCCCGAAACGTCACTGTCACTTTTGTAAGCAAGTGGGTGGCAGAATTTTTTTCGTAATGTTTTGGTGTTGCGATCGCGATCGCGCGTGCGCGCTGCTGGTCCGGCGACACGTGATACGTACACAAACGTCGACGGTTCGGCGCGAACTGTCGGCGCCGCAGCTCGCGCCTCGCAGCCTCCGCGATAAGATGCGCCCTACCCCGGAACCACTTCCTAGTTCCGTCGAGTTTTTATTGCCAATCACCTAAGTAGCCCTTTGAACTTGCTCCTTGTAGGTTTGTACATTTATTGTAATTAATAAACAATTATCCTCATTCGCAAAATAGTGTAAGAAATTTGTAGATAAGATAGTAGGCGTAACTAGTGTTTAATCTGATACGATTAATAAGTAACATGGGTGGTTAGCAATAAAACAACATTATCTCAGTCCAATTTATTTTATTTGAGTACTCAATAAATATCAATACTATGCTATCAAATTACTTAATATTCTGCATAGGTAGCTACGTGCTAGCTGCATTTACTTTTTAAATATTGATCATTACCTAGACTAGCCGAAGACAGGATACCAACGCTAGTGTTCAGAAAACGCTTCTTCAACGTTATTAATTTAAATTATTATTATTATCGTAAATATAAGGGCCTGCGCAGACGTAGGACAATTTCCGCCTAACGTACTATTTCGTATGCTTTAAATTAAAATTCTTTGAAAATGTATCGAATTTATTTCTAAGTATAAATAAATTATATTTCAGTTAAGGATACAAAACGATACATACCTAATTAATGACTGTTTAATTGAATATGAATTAGATCCCTTACAACCATTAAGTTATAATGTACTACGTACAATATTAGTTCAATGCTTGAAAAACGCACGCAACGGACATCTAAAAAAAAGTACGGGGGAGTCCCCGAAAATAACTAGAACTAACGTGACTATATAGGTGCACTGTGCAGCAATCCACGAAGCAAAGCGAACTTAAGTCTGTGTTGAACGCGCCATAGTCTCGATAGTGGCGTAAAAATGATCGTATACCCAGTCCGTGGCAAGTTCTCGCCGCACATTTTATCCACGATTTACAGAGGATGTGCAGGCCCTAAGGAATGTAAAAAACCTGGAGTATAGTTAACTGATTTATTATATTTTAATTAATTTTAATACTATAACAAAGTAATTTAATTTAAAAAAAATGAAATTATAAGCACATTCCTAATGAGGGTTCACCTCAAGTACCTACTAGAATACCTAGACAATTGTAACTTACTAAGGGAGCATGTAATACGTTATGTCGTTTGTTATTATTTTTAATATTATTGCGTTATCATAGTTTTTAATTACCATTAATTCTATCAAGTGGTTGAAGTGCGAACCCCGCTAGCAAACTACCGTCCTGAACCTACTCCTTACAAAACCCTTTAGCTTAGCTGAAGGGTTAACAGATAATAAACTCTATAGTCTATGGGTGAATTGGTCTGAAAAGCAATTAATTACGTTAAGCACCAATTCTATTTTAAGTCTGTATTACACACAATATAGACATCTAATGCTAGCAATATAATTCGAGTAATAAAACTTATAATACTGCTTTATACTACGTACTGCTCAATAGTTGCAGCACCCAGAAGCCCAAGTTCGAGTTTATTTCACATCAACTCGATCTTCACGGTGACCGCGTTTGGCGCTACGATTGGCCCGCACAGAAATCTCCACCAATCGCAACGCGCTCGCCGTCGAGAGCGAGTCGTCTATACAAATAAATAAAATTGGAGTGTCTGTTTGTAATATTAAAATAACCGCTTTTTAATAAATGCATATGTATGTTTACACGGTACATATGCCAAAATAACCATTTTTGCCTGTCTGTCTGTTTGTTCCGGGTAATCTCTGGAACGGCTGGACCGATTTTGACGGGACTTTCACTGGCAGATAGCTGATGACATAAGGAGTAACTTAGGCTACTTTTTTTAGACTAGCTTCGCCCCGCGGCGTTGCCCGCGGTTATAACAACAAACGCGGGTAACACCGCGGGTCTCAGCTAGTGTGAAATAAACTCGCTCTCGGCCCTCTGGTCGATATACATACTGACTCACTTACCAAAGGCCGCAGTACCATACAAAATCATTTTTAAAAGGTACTTTATTTGTTTCTATCTGTTTTTGCCAAAACCTACTTATATAAATGTAACATAAGCATACAATAATTATTGTTGTTTATAGCTCATGAGGTGCTTACCTATAAGTAATTGTAACACTATGCCACTTCATACCCACTTTAAAATGTCTTTAAATATTAACCAGTGTATACAATTGTTGGTGAGCCAGTTAAATAAATAAATATTTATTTCATAATAACTTTTTTTTAGATATTGGTATAACTACTGCAGCTACAATTTATAATCAGTTCTTCAATTAAGTATATACACTATTGAAAACATTCTTTAATATACAATATTTGTTTACAGACAAAATTCTTTGTTCTTTATAAAACTGGTACAGGTATCAGTATTTCTCAAAGTGAAAGCAGTTTCTTGCGGTAATACCGTAGCTACCTAGGAAATTTATTATACCCGTACTCTTCTGATGCTGCTTAACTGTTAATGGCAATATAGGCTCGCCCAGTCGGCAAAACTTATATAGGTAATACGCCTCTTTCTACTTATTTCGGACTTAAGTACACATGTATCTTAGTCAACATTTTAAATTGAACGAACAACAGTTGAAAGACTGCTTTATACTGACCAGCTTCTGTTCGCTTAGTAAGTTTCTAGCTCTGGATCTCATTGGCTACGATCCCTTATGGATATAGTAGGTCTGATGAAACAGACTCACTGATAAAATTTGTTGTTATAAGAATATAAACTTTTTTTGATACCGATGCAGCAAGACGCTTTACAACTCAAAAAAGAGCCCCTCATCGTGGCCGAAAAAAGTCGGGAAACCCCCGAAATTACAAACGCTTGTTAAATTTACTGACACTGATGATAATTGTAGTAAAATAAATGTTTGGCGCTAAGAAAACATTTTTTTTTACCGTGCTCGCTATTATATGCTACAATTTTTATTAATATTTATTCCAATAGGAGCTGCTTTATTATTATTATTTTTAAACATACTTTAAATTAAAATACTTTAAAAATTGGAAATGTATCGAATTTATTAAAAATTATATATAAATTAAATTTAAGCTAGGGTACAAATCGACACATAATTAATAATTAATGTTTAATTGAATATAAATTTTAAAATAACATTAATAACATATTTATATTTAATACTATTTCAAGCCATATGCTTACTGTATAGACTCACTGACCTAGCTAGAACATGTCCATTTTTGAATGCTGGTCCTTCTTCTGGCCCTTCCAAATAAAAAGGTTTTTTTGCTTATTCATGCGCCGCTAGTACATAAATCGAATCGAAGTTATTATACCTATATATATATATATATATATATATATATATATATATATATTGCCAAACATAAAATTGTGACAACCGATTGAGACAACTGTGTAACCGTTCTAGGTTATTCAATTAAAATAATTTCATCCAAAATATTTGATCAAATTAAATAAATTAAAATATTTAACCCTTACAATAAAAAAAATGATACAATGTTTGATCATTCCTTGCGGCATACAAAACTCACCAGCCCAGTTCTTGTTTTCTCATTTACCCCTTAAAGCGCATTTTTTCCTTATTTCCCTAAATACTAGCCAGTGATAAGCGCTTTGCGTATGATGATCGTCATCAAATCTAGATGCAGGCATATTGTAGTACAAACTGATGATATAATTATTAATTTACCTTTACATGCATTTTACAAACAATGATTAAACACTGATTAAGCAGTAAAATCTGTGTACCACTCCATGCTTTTGTCATTTTCCGTGGCAGTAAAAAACAAAACAAAACATAAGTTGAACACTTCGTCTTCCAAAGCGCAAGACGAAAAGAACAATATCATATTTATAACAATAAGTCTCGGTCCATTACATACTTAAATATTTCAGTTCTAGACGTTACACAATGACGTCACAACGTCACCTATTCAAACATGTTTCAAAAGTCCTTAACTCTCACTTCTTCTTCAAGCTCCATAATGGATCTAAAAAGTTCAGAGGATCTTTCATGTCCCCACTCTTCAAGCCTGGTAATTGCTTCATTTCTTCAAAAGATTCTCGGGAGAACTTGTTGAGTTTTGACTGCGCGGTAGGTGGCGCTGGGTTGGCGGTCGGTGTCACTGGGGGCCGGACTGCGGCGCCCGATGGTACGGAAACGGCTTCACCGTTGAACATTGTGGTTCCTATAGAAATAGAGGATACTATAGCCAGGCAAAAACAAAAAGGTTTATTAGGGCTAATTTCCTCAAAAAAGGAGGATGCTATCAATTCGGATGTATTTTTATATCTTTGTTAAATCAGAACCCAGACATTTATTAACCGATTCGTATTTTTTATTTAGAAGGGTTTTGGTTTCTGGGTGGGGTCTTTTTGGACCTATTCATATTCAAAAGCCATATACCTAAAGGTAAAAATTTAAGACATGATAAAATAGAATTTATTACGATTGATCATGATGTAAGCTCATCAAAATCGGTGATATTTTTTTAGGTTTTTTTTTTTATTTTTGGTATTATATACTTACCGGAACAAAGAACTCCTTGCACATAGAAGAGAGTAGTTCTATAAGTGTCGGCTAAATATTTTGTGTCTTCTAGCACATAGCTTCTGTGCTTGTACAGGTTTATACAGGCCGCATCCAACATATCTGCAAATATACATTTATATAGAAAGTCTATTAAAAAAGCCTTGTTGAGAATGTTCTACGATGCTCGGGTAGTTTTAAGAGTAATGTCGATGCAGTGGCATTATTGCGAGATTTAGGAACTGTCTAAAAAAAGGCCGGATTTGAAAAGCTACCGCGATGCGGTTTGGAGTCTAAGTTGTAGTTAAAACAAATCTAGGATATTAACAATGTTATAAAGTTAGTAGTATTATATCGAAACAAGTTTATAATTTATATATAATTTAATATAAAGACGAAATAATGAAGACATAAATAGCACTAATATAGTAAGAGGTAAAAAGGTAAAATAATTTATACGTTGAAACTGAAACTGCAACTCTACCGATAAAGATGTTTCACTCGAATTTGTTCCGTTATATTCGTATAATATTAAAATTAATAAATACAAAAAAAAAAATAACAGTTGATCAGATACAGTTTTAACGTCTTGTGTAAGCAGTAGTGATACGCAGTTGTTACTTTGTCCAGTCCCAAAGAGAGCTAGCGATCGTTAAATTGTAATTAAGTTTACTTACCACATAACTCAATCTGTCCAGCTCTCACTTGACATATAAGCATGGTGAGTAAAGCCAGTACGGTACTGCGCCCACCGCCAACGCTACAATGGATCCAGGCCCCGCTGAGCTGGTTGCTTAGCTTGTTGTCATACGTTTGGCTCAGAATCTTGTCGGATAAGAGAACTAATGGTGAACACACAATCCTGTTCGAAATAGAGATATGTTAAAATGAAAGTTTTTATTTTCAACCACTGAGTTTCAAATAATATTTAAGGCACAGACAAAACGAATTACACTATTAAAATCCTTGATGTATCTATAACTTTGTACCAGCTTTGGAAAATAACTACAGCAATTGACTAAAGCATAGGGTTGCAGGGTACAGTGGCAGCACCGTGAATTCCAGAATAATTTGACCAAGTTAACCTCAAGTAAGATTTAAAGTTATAATCACAATAGTTGAATTAGTAATAACGAATTAATTGCATTTGTGAAAGTAAAAGTTGGAATAAGTACGTTCTAGAACAAAAGGAGAATGCAATGTACACATGGCAAAACTGCTGGTCAGTTGACGAGTACCTGTGGTTATATGAACTATTACTAGAGAAATTGAAACAATATAATAATAATAAAATTGGTTTTGAAATAATAGCAATTTACAATTCATACAAACCCCAAAACATGTAAAAATTCATTGCAGAATACAATAGATTTCATTCCAGATTACAATGACAATAGACTGGTCTAGCATAAACTAAAATAATAATTTTTATCCATATTTATTGACTGCTCAAGTTCGCAAAAAAAATTGACTACAGTTTTTTTTGGAACTGTCATGGTTTTGACTGCATTAGTTAAAAATTGCTCTACTAAACATTTCTTAGAGTATTACTAGTACTAGAAATATATAATAGTACATAAATACAGTCTATAGATATCAAAAAATGCAACATATCTATTAAAAAAGGGAAGCCCTTAAAAACAACGTGCCATAAAAAAAAAAACAATGCTTAACAGCTCACATAAAAACTACAATAAAATGAAATGATTGCATCACATCAGAAGCTAGACGGATTTTATCGTTGCTATACCTCCATAAAAAGGCATTGCCTAAGTAATTAAAGTAGCGACTAGTAAAAGTTCCATTTACAGTAAGGGCTTCTGAGCACGCAATGCTTAGTATCGATTCTATTTCATATTAGCAGTAAGGTTCAAACTCGAATGCAGTTCGTATATTCATTGTTGATTAATAAATAATTTATACTAATATTATAAAGCTAAGTGTTTGTTTGGTTGAATGCGCTATTCTCAAAAACTACTGATTCGAATTGAAAAATTAATTAAGTGTTGGATAGCCAATTTATTGAGGAAGACTATAAGCTCTACGACCAATAGTAGTCGAGCATCAATAAAAAAACGAGTATGTTTTAGACCACACGACTGAAGTAAAACTTCTTGGCTATGAGAGAAAAAGAGAAAAAAAATGTGTGCTCGCACCTCTCTTGCCCCTACAGTAATATACGAAACGCAACTCTCTCTCTCTCTCTTTCTATCTTCATTAACTTATATTTCCCTCTTAACTTCCGTTCGCCATGCCCGATCACACTTTTCGTAACGCTCTCCCCAGCTTACTCCCCAAGCGTGCGTAAAGAAGTTTTACTTAAAAAATGTCGCAGCAACGGGCAAAATTTATTCCTTTTGAGAGACTTAGACAAAGCTGCGCGGGTCACGTGATAAGATCAAAGTGGTCGATGAGGGTACATAAACATTTGCGTGCTATGTGCGAATTGTGTCTTTGAAGGTTATCGATTCGTTTAGTTAAATACAGTCTAATTCTAGTGGCACTCCCTTAACAAGCTGACACGTAATCCTCCCATCAACATTTAATTAATTCGTTAATTGAGTTGAGCTTTTCTGTTATTCTTTTAACCTTATCACGTGATGAACTAAATTATTTTTACCAATGGAATAATGAAAGAACTATTTGAAAAGAAAAAAGTAATTATGAAATCAGGCGGAGATGCTGCCACTGTATGTAATTCTAATATCTATCTAAATCGATTATTCGATATCACGATATATAAAGTGCTGTAAAGATACGAACAAAATTTATTTTGTTTTTGTAGACCTAAGATACAAGATTATCGTGAACAAATTTTCATTTTAAAAAGGGTAACAGAACACAACAGATTATAAAGGTTAGAATATTAAGGTAAACTTTTATTTTATCTATTATTTAAAAACAACCACATATTTTTACTAAGTTATCTTAAACTATGAAGATATACTCACTTGGCAGGAAAAACGTTGATTTGATAATGTGTGACATTGACTACAGTCTTTCCTTGGGCTACGGTGAGCTGCCGCTCGGTCCAATGTACTGTACACGTCACCTCATCCAAGAATACTTTGAGACTGTCGGCAAATTCCAAGGAGGTGCCTTTCGCCGTTGGCCAGTACGTTTTACCTTGCATCTGTTGTTAGAAAAAATAATAATAATTAATCAATATATTCGTGTTGAATTCCTTTTCGGGACCTATAGACTAATCTTGTTAAAAAAGAAAATTTTGCCTTTTTTTTCAATACAAAAATAATAATGTTACAGTGGTAACACCTGCATGTTGCCAACCTCAAAATTTCAAGTTTCTTGACCCAATTCACCCGCAGGAACTATGAATAATAAGAATGAACTATGATCTCTAAGGTTGGACACACAACAGGTGACAGTAGTTTGAAGTATCATAAGATTTTTTTTCTCACCTCTATTTCACTTAAGAGACAAGCAATACAGCTAATTTTATTTTCTAATATTGCTTTCCAGAATACACTATATTCATTTTCGCTAGGATGTTTAGATATCACAATTGGGATGCACCACGGTGCTAGTTGCTGAAACAAGAACAGTTAGTAAATGTTTCAATAAAATTGTATTGCTTTTTGAGGCCGCCATCTTCCTTCTGCAGTAGGAATAGACAACGCATTTATAAATTAGACGCGTGACAAATTTCAATAACATTGTTATCAAATCAAATTTTGATATTTAATATTTCAAAATAATGTGTGCCTGTATATTTTGTGAATCTGCCTATACATGTATATTCTGAACTACACTGGTCAGCAAATAAACCGAGCCACCCGCTACCTAGGAACTCTGATTCGATTTTCTCAAAAAGTATAAAACTTACAACTATCAAAGTTATACCTACAAAAAGTGCGTTTCATGGTGATTAAAATGACTAAAAATTAATTCGAAAGTACCGTCAACTCACATTGTAATCAAGCAACAAACACAATGCTAACGATTTGCTCTGTTTTCACCAGAGTTTGATATTAGCGTTCTTTTTCTCTACAATGAGGGTAGTCGGATATTTCTTATCATTTCCTTAGTTTTTGTCCATCGTTTGCACAGACGCGTGTGTTTTTGCTACTTTTTTCGATTAATAATAGATACAACACCTCAGGAAGCAGCTCAAGCTGGAGCATTACTTCAAGCAGGCATTGCGCAACGTGAAGTCGCTCGAAGGCTTCGAATCAGCAGATCTTCGGTGCAACGAGTTTACAGACGATACCTAGAGACTGGACCATTCGATCACCGTCCAGGTACGGGCAGACCTAGGGCTACATCAGCAGCAGATGATCGTTATATCCACCTTACTGTTCTGCGAAATCGCCACCTCAACGCAGTTCAAGTCCAACAAAGTCTGCGTGACGAGCGCCAAGTGGTCATAAGTTCAGATACAATCAGAAGGAGACTTGCTGAACGGAACCTGACCCCAAAAAGAGCTGCAACAGGCCCAGCATTAACGGTAGCACACCGTCGAGCACGACTTGAATTTGCTCGAGAGCATAGGGATAGGACATTAGAGCAGTGGAGTAATGTACTCTTCACTGATGAGACCAGGGTGAGTCTACATGGAAGTGATCGACGTCAGAGAGTATATCGTCGCCCTGGAGAACGTTATTCTCAGTGTTGCATCGAGGAAACTGTTGCTTATGGAGGAGGATCTGTAATGGTCTGGGGCGGCATCTCTTTAACAGCACATACAGCGTTAGTTTTCATCGAACCGACGGGCCGTACACGTGGACTGACTTCTCATCGCTACATTACTGAAATCCTCGCAGACCATGTGGTACCTTACGCAGGATATATCGGACAGGATATGCAATTGATGCATGATAATGCACGGCCTCATGTTGCTCATGTGGTGACCCAGTATCTACGCGACGTCAGCATTCGTACGATGGACTGGCCAGCTCGAAGCCCGGACTTGAATCCGATAGAACACTTATGGGATGAGCTGAAACGTCGGGTTCGAGCCAACCCGACGTTTCAGCTCATGCTCCAACAAGGCTTCCAGAGCTGCGAATCGCAATTGAAGAGGAGTGGAATACAATTCCTCAAGATTTTATCGTCAGGCTCGTAAGGTCGATGAATACAAGGATGCTGGCAGTTATCCGAGCAAGGGGAGGGAATACGGAATATTGATCAAAATCTTTTTTTTGATTTTATCTTTGTTTTTGGCTTTAATTTTTTTTTTCACTTTATCATTACTAACGATTGTCACGACTGGAAAACGACTCTTCTTTGTAAAATCCTTAATAAACACTGAAATATTGATTAAACCCAATGAGTTTCCTTTCATTTTAATCACCATGAAACGCACTTTCTGTAGGTACAACTTTGTTAATTGTAGGTTTTTTAGTTTTTGAGAAAATCGAATTAGAGTGCCTAGGTAGCGGGTGGCTCGGTTTATTTGCTGTCCAGTGTATATATTTTTCTCCACTAGATTTTTGAAGTGAAAACTTCTTTAGCGGCGTTGTACACTTTTTTTGTAATGGGTAAAAAACGTTAAACTCGCGTCAGAACACGTGACCTGATCGAAAATTCGTAAGACGCATGGAGAGTAGACAGCCGGCGCGGTGTAGGAAAGGAAGTATCCCCCTCTTTCTACGGCGCGGCGAAAATGTATGCCTGCGCCTGCTGTTTCGTTTAGGCGGCGCAGGGCGCTTGCGCGAATGTTCGTGTGTGTTTATGTTACAGCTTGCCACGCGCATCCATGGATGATGACAGCGTCTCGATAAATTGTCATGTTTGTGTACGATAGCGCAATAAATAAATATTGTATTCTACCACATAAATGATAGTACTTTTATACTGATAATTAAAGCAATTCGTGCAAAATTTTTCCCTAACCATTCCAAAATATCAAAAATGCACAACGTTAATATTCAAGTTTTCACTTCTGCCGGCACTCCCGGAGTGCAGCCCGTCGTCTTTTTTATTCTATTTATATACAATACTAGATTGGCCCCGCGGTGTTACCTGCGGTTTATCAAATACAAAATATAACAATGTAGCCTTTTTGTTAATCCAGGGCGTCATCTAACCATATATCAATTTTTTTTTAAATTGATTCAGAGCGTGAAGAATTAACAAACATACAAACACACACTCAGAAACTTTCTTCTTAATAATATTAGTGTGATACAGCGACCGATTTCGATCGATTATTTGTAACAACTACCTCAATTACCCTCTACTTTGATGACTCTTGTACGGATGAAAAAGATCTTAATTTCAAAGCTTTAATTACCTTATAATAAGATGCATTTATATACGCATCAGGATCAGATTTGAGTCTCAGTCTCGAGTCGTCAAAAGGCACTATTTCACTCACTATGTTGCCTCTAGTGTGCTGCATGGCAATGGTTTTTGATCGAGTCATATTCTCCTTAGCCTGCAAGAACAATGCAAATATTTCCAGCGTTTATAATTTGCATACTAAATTGGGTAATGTCTATGCTCAGCACAAACTATTTTGTCAAGTCTTTCAATAGAATAACTTTTTAGAATGTCGAGCTATTATCTTTTAGTAGGCAAGTTAACATGAAAGTCGAATGTTTTGACAACAGCATGGTGTGACGTCATTACTTAGTAGTATATACAAAAAATTACGGAAGATGCGGTTTTCCGCGTACTTAAAAGATACTGACTTGACAGTCTAATGGGGTCATTATGCATTTTATAATAGTTTAAGTGACATCTCTGAGTACTTACTTGCACATCTTGGAAAGTCTTCCATTTAGCATCTAATACAGTTAAACCACTCGGCATTTTGTTAGTCAAAGAATCAGTGAGTTTTTGTAAATTTTTCACTTCTTGTGTGAATTTGTTTAGCAACATGGGGTCTGAAAATAAGTCCCGCTTCGCTGGCCTCTCGATAACCACCTCTTTCGGAGGTAGCTTTATCACAGGTTCCACCTTAGGCACAGCTACAAGTTTCTTGATAGCACTTTCAGATACTTGCGGTACCTTAATTTCAGGCATTAAAGGTGTTTGTTCTACTGAAAAGTCTATGTCATATAGTAAGTCGAAAGCACTCAACTCTGTTTTAACCTCTGTAGCAGTTACCTCTACAGGTTTGATATCAGGTTTAATTTGTTCAACGTTGGTTGGTACTGTAACTGTTTTATCTGGTACACTAGGATTGTGTTCGAATGTTGGTTCTTTAACGTTCTCTGTCGGTGAAGACACTGAAATAAAAATCCATTTTACTTTAAATTCGTTTATTATATAATATTTTACAATATATTTTTGGCACAAGTTATTTATGACTTCTTACCTTGGTTGTTAGTGTACGTGACGCTGGTATCCTGGCCCTGACTAGAATGAATATAAGTTGATTGATTCATGTCAGCGCCAAAATTAGTTGAAACAGGCTGAGAGCTTGGCACGAACTCTTCAGTTTTCGTAGTCTGATAGCCATACGGAGCATTATAATACGTTTGGTTGGTACTCCCATGTTGAGAAGGTACCTGGCCCATCACTTGTGGGTTTTCTGTAGGCGACTGAATGGTTTCGCAAGTCCCCACATTTCCTGCATTTGTGTAAATTCCTTGCAGTTGCCAATTTGGATCTTTACCCTCCTGCTGAGGGTTCATATTCGTTTGAGCTGTACTGTCATATCCAGAGTATGCATTCTGAGAACCGAAATTATATTCGAAATTGCCAGTAGCTGAGTTGAAGTTATAGCCCGGGTGATTTTGGTATGACTGTGCGTAACTAGTGTTTGTTTGGTCAGTATAAGTATATGCGCTGGTTGGGTTATAGGTTTCGGGTTGGTTGGAATATCCAGATCCTTCGGGAGCGCTGTAATTTTGAAACGTTGGTTGAAAGTTCACGTTGGACAGTGCTTCACCAGTTACGTGTGACTTTATTGGTTTATCTAGGGCATCTAACTGAGCTAGAGCATTGTTGTAATTTGAATCGATTTCTGAAGGATAGGAATAGGGTGTCGTGGTCGTATTGACTACACTGGAGATTGAGGTGACAGCATTTGTGTAGGTGTGTCCTTGAGACGTAGATGCGTAAGGTGCGTCATAACTATAAGGCTGCTCACTTGCGTTATATGGTGTGTTAGGGGGCACAACCTGGGCGTACGGATTTACTTCACTGTAAGGGTAGTTTAAAGAGCTGTAATCCGAAGCGATCTGCGAAGGAGCTATGCTGGTATTAGAATTATGAACCGCACTGGTGTACGTATTAGGATTGGGTGTCGATACATGGGGATAATGCACGTTGTAATACGTCTGAGAATAGTCAGCCGAGTGTCCTGAATCTACTTTCGGCTCCGAAACGTGCATATAAGCAAAGTTTGTGGCTAAATCAGGCGTGTTGGCAGCTTTGTACATAGACATATTGCCCATAGATGTCTCAGGTATTGCACTCGCTTGGTTCGCATACGGGTCATAGTATTGGTTCGGAGCAACTGGATCAGCACCAACATTGAGGTTCTGCGAGTCGGTTACTGCAGTATTCGTATTGTTTGGTGTAGCAGAATAATACGGGTTTGAATATACTTGTTGATCAGCCGAATTCGAATTAAATTGTGATGGGGTGTATGTCGAATATCCGTAGTTTGAATCTTCCTGGGAAGGTTTGTCGTATGGTTTGCTGGTCGCTGGGTGAGCGTAGTTAGATTGCATCGGCTGGATGCTGTAATTCTCCTGGTCGGTTGAGTATTGGTAGCGTTGGTATGGGTTAGGAACCCTTTGCAACGGTGGTGCTACTACTCCGTCTGGAAGCTGCATTTGGGTAACATCTGTCGCTGAAACAAACCAGTTATTGAATTGTTGCATAAATACATAACAATATTTAGATGTTTAAGAAGCTTTGTTGCTTGGTAATATATTTATATCTTAACCTATGCAATTTAATCCAATTTAATTTAGTACTAACAGTATCAAGGATGAAAAATATTTTGATTAAAATTGTACGAAACAAATGTAGAACATTTTTGGCTACCACGTCTTTCCGTCTAATATCATAAAATTATAAAGTTGACATACCTTCTGATCCAACAGGTGTGGGCCTGACCGAAGTCGGATAAACAGGGTCTGGATAATAAGTGTCTTGAGGTAACGGATCCACTAGAGCTGAAAACCGAAGGCATATAAAATAAAACAATGGAATAAAATTATAGGTTTTGAGATGTAAGAATTTGCTTGGGTCTCTTAGAATTATAAGAGCGTGCATGAAATGTGAGTAGGGTCCGTTAGCGCGTGCGTAGGTGTATATGATGTGAAGGAGGCTTACCTTGTGGAGTGAGACTCCTGGTGTTCCTGTTCTTCATGTAAGGCAGGTAGTCCTTCAGCTTCCGCGCGCTGCCCGCGGGCGCCGCGGGGGCGACGTCGGGCGTCCGCGCGGGCGGGGGGGACGCGGCCTGCGACTGGGCCGGGGTCGACGCTGGATATAACACACATTCTAATTAGTTACTAAACATTAAATCAACACAAGCACCGTGCTTTGTTAAAAGGATATAAATAAGTTAACGTTACTCTCCAAATTATAAAACTAGCCGTAAGGAAGTGAATCATCTGGTTAATTCGTTGGTCCGACCATGAAGGAAATCCAGGTATAGTTTATAGCTTAGAGAGTGACAGGCTAACTTATATAATGAAGAAAATGCACAACTAGATCACACGATACAGGAATAGGTGTTATGTCCCTCCAACTAAAATTATCTCTTATCTTTATTTAATTATATACCACGCACTGCTGTTAAACAACCCGAGAAGTTTCATAGTACGACGAACGACTAGTAATTACTCTGCAGTAATATGTTTCTTCGTAACTTGACAATGAAGATTATATAACATTGATAGTTGATATTAAATACTTTTACTTAATTATGATTACAGATCTTTAATTGTAATATGTACCTTCATTTCACTTCACACATCTCACACAAAGTCGCCTAATCCCAAACCAGGCATAGCAACCAGCCTACTGATAAACATACGTTTATATTTCTAAATGATACAAATGATCGTACTCATCACACAATTATTTTTCCTGGGTGGGAATAGAACCCACTACCTCTGTTTTAGCAGTCAGGATCATTAACCACCATACCAGTCAAAGCAAAATAATTAATAAATAAATGTAAAAAATCGTACGTACAAGAAGAAGAGTTCTTGGCGAGCAGCTGCGCCCGCTCCTCTTCGTGGACCTGGCACGTGCTGCGCAGGCGCGCTAACAGCGCCGACACGTTGTGCGACAGCTTCTTGTAGAACTCCAGTCCCTTCTGCGACTTGCCCAGCAGCTCCGAGTACGTGTCGTATGACGTGATCAGCGCTGGAACACAATACGAGTGTCAGAAACAGAGGACAAATGGACACTATCACAATTTTTTTTAAGTGAAGTTAAGTAAGTGATTATCGTCGCCCATGGACATCAACAACTCACAAAAAAGTCACAAGTGCCTTGCCGACCATTGAGTTTGACCGGGATTTTGTAACCACAATCACTCGGTGAGAAGTTACGAAATAATTACTTACAGGTTAAACATTAATTATGAATAATTAGAATGATAATAGTGGTACATATTTTTTCTTTCCTTCTGCCTTCAATATATTACTTTGCTATCGGGAGACTTACCGTTGATGAGTCCCTCCCGTTTTCGTAGCACGTCAGACAACAGTCGTCGTGAATCACCGTACGATGCGTACACTGATGTCAGTTTATTGATTATGTTTTCCTGGGCTGCTAGATTTTGTTCTATGATTTTCACCTGTAAAAGTAATAATAATTTTATAGATCACATACACGGTCGTCTAATCCAGATTACTGTAGGCAGAGTCTATGTTAAAGTAACCAGAATTGTGACAAAAATACATACATACACGGTTATAGATTTCTCTCTTCAAAAGACAACTCCCGCATTAAGAATATAGCCTGTGTCGCGGGGGATTTTATAAAAAATGCATGAACCGGACACAAAGAACACCCAGACTCTGAACAACCATTTGTGGATCACACAAAGTCGACACTTTGATCGATCGGTTCGATCCCCACATGGGACGACTCCCATGTGGGGATCCAACCCACAACACTCAGCGTAGTAGTGAGTGGCGTAGTGACCGCTTAAACCACTACGCCATCCGTATAGATAAATTACATCTAAACTCAAAACAAAAGGTTTGTGCTAGAGACACAATTAATTGTCTTATTATTTTCGACTTAGCAGTCGGGGTCACTAATCATCAGATTATATTTTTTTCTATGTGGTGAGCTCGTATGCGACAAGAAGTGTAGGTGGTGGGTTACCTTGGGCGTGTGCTTGTCCAGCTCCTGCTTGAAGACGAGGTCGGCGGGCTCGGTGGCGCGCGCCAGCAGCTGCGCGGTGATGTCGTCCTGCGCGGCCGCGTCCCGCAGCGCCTGCACCAGCGCCGCGCGCTGCGCCTGCATCTCGCGCACCTTGCCCACCACGCGCCGCATCTCCGACATCGTCTCCACGTCCAGACCCGCTACCCGACACATCACGACATATATTCACCCTCACGTCTCAACACCTGGCTACTTAACGCACTTTTTCAAGTGTAGATATAAAAATATAAGCATACTACAATACAAACAAAAGCAAAAAAAATATAAACCTGCATATTAATATTAACTACAATTAGTAAGAACCTACGTCAACTATTACCACATACATCCAATTAGAAGCTAGACAAGTTCTTCGCTTGTCAAACCGCTATCGTGATTTGATGTAACATATTATCATTGTCTCGATATTAACTTTCCCATTGCAAGCTTCCTCCACACCAAAGTGTGAAGGGATGTTTATTACGTCAAACTAATACCAACAGATGAAAAGCACAGAAACAGAATATAATCTGAAATTGCAGTTAAACTAAAATTTTATTGACAAAATCGACATTAACGAGAGCAGTCATGCTCAAAAACTAATTATTGCAATCGAAGTTCCAGTCGCCATAACAACAGAAACTTACCGATATTCTCAATACTAGGTATTTTGCTCTCCAACACATCCAGCGGCTGCGCCAAAAGTCGCAAATTGGCAATGTGCAGCGTCATAGCTTTGTGCAACACCTGATTGCTCTCATTGGTTCTGGAGTGAGCTTCTTGATACTTGTGGTATTCGCGAGACAGCTCGGTTTGGACGATCGACGGCGGACGAGGACCCATTACCTTTTGGTATTCTTTTTCTTTCATTGTTTCTTCCTGAAAATAGAGGGTATATATCTAAGCAAACATAAATTTTAAATGAAAACTATTAGCTATTTAGGCTTCATATCTGTTTTAAACTTTTACTGTCACCTGTTCTAGGCGGTCAGGGTAGCATATATAATACTGTAATTACCGGAGGCTAACGTACCTGTATAAGACTTTTAATCTCGGCGAGGGAATGTTCAACGTCACTGATGATTTCCGCAAGGCTGTTCATTGAATCCACTAATGTTTGTATTATCTCAGTTTTGGCGTTCATTGCCGCACACCTATCTACTATCTCTTGTGGTACCCTAAAACAATAATTTAATTAGGATTGCTAATTATACCTCCCAATATCACCCCAGGCCTACTTCGCACCGTGGGTAAGAAGCGGCGTGAAGGGTGGCGGGAATGAAGTACGTGGCGGCGTCGACGAGTCGAACTAATTCAGTGGGCTGCCGGGCGGTTTGGTTTTGTGTTAGTTCCATATTTCCTCATGCGACACATTTGGTGAGCCGATAAATATCACTTAAGTAAATTAAAGACAAAAGGACATGCTGCTTAAAATATAACTAGGAGCCGAAACTCACGTTTTCAAAGGACATCGAAAAACGTAAATGTTCGTCGTAAACAGTAACTTCATAAAAAATGATTTATGCGAAAAAGCTCGATAAACTTCTAGGTATTATATTATTTAGGCTTTATTATATCGTAGTAGAGTTGCTTTTCATTTAAATGATTTTACTCAATGTTACTTCTGTACTCGATCTGCCTAAAAATGCCTATTGATGTGGCCTAAAAGCGTGTGTCTTCTACACTACACATATTAAAACTAGAATACACAGTTATACAATACTCACTTCTGATCAGAATCCAAAACGTCCAACTGATCAAGTTGCAGCGATGACATAAATTCTGTTAGCTCAGTGTTTTTGGCCTCGACTTGGCCCACAATTTGTCGTATTAACTTCGCCTTCTCTTCCGAGTACATCGAAGATGCTTCATGAGCACCCATCGGTACTAGACGAGCAAATACGTCGGGTCCAGTTACCTATGACGATGAAACATTTGTAGAATATAACTTACGAATACAGTAGGCAAGTAAATCTTTATTTTTGAATTTCTAGTAAATTTTCTTTTTACCTCTGGATCATTGAAGTTGATTGGCAGCGCTTTAACAAGGCACACAGGTTTCATATCCATCAGCAAATCTTTCTCCGGAACTTCTTCATGGTAAATGAACTCGTTTTCATTCTTGGCCGCTTTCCTTTTCCCTTCTACCACGTCATTGGTAAATGTAAGGGCCTCCTGAGTCACCTGGACGGGTTCTATATGCTTTGCCAGCTTTCTTGCCTCCGCAAGTTTTTCTACGGCGTTTTGGTAGAAGGCTACGCGTTCACCCATTTTTTGTTGTTCTTCAGCATTCATACCTTCAAAACAAAATATTTTCTATTTATAATTGTTTTAAAAGGTTCCTATGTTATAAAATGCCCGGTAGGCATAGTAAGGGGGCCTGTGATTATATACGAATCACAACAAATAGTATGAACAACATTTAACGGTTAATCGTATAATCAAAGTATAGAAATAATTTAAATTAATTCTTTTGAGAATTTCAGTTCAAAAAGTGTTACGAACCATATAACAATATAATAACAAAAAGGATAAAATACACATTAATGGATAAGACAAAACACTTTAATACAAACTTAAGGTCTTGGTAGCAAAAGAGGCACAATGCTGTGCGAGATGAGAGCCATAGCTACATATATAGAGACAAAATAGTCCTTGCGCCCAGGAGTAGAGAATTGTCTCAATAGTAATCACCATTTTACTTAGCTAGCTAGACTGTATCAATAAACCGTATCTATTTACACCAATAAAAAACGTTTAACACACGTAACCAGATAATTAAAAAGTTCTATTTAGACAACTATACTGTATACATATTTCTAAGGCAAAATAAGGAATACAGCATTATATGAATAGATTTAAAAAATATCGTCGTATTTTCCTATTCATCAGTAATAACAATATCGCGATTGTAATCTATTGCTGCCGATCCCAAAACCACGCTGCTAAACTTGTTATGCACGTCACGACACTCTGATCTTTTGCAGTTCACCTAAAGTTTGGCTGCAAAATAGGCATGGGCCAAAATCACAGTAAACATTCGAATTTTTCGTACGTAGGTTAGGGTTACTACTTATTCACGCGTTGTTGCCAATAAGCTGTTTTCAGACGATGCATAAAGACCCTATCTCGCCTATTTAACAGTAAATCTAGAAATTATTATACATAGGTAGCATTTCCTACATAATGATTTTAAAATAGATTTTCTGTTAAATAGCGTCTAACCCACTTACCTAGCAACCCTAACCTACACAGTTCACTGTGATTTTGTCCCGTCTCTAGTGTAAAACATTACGGCCCGCGATAAAATCGATCCATCGTAACACTTTTACGGTCCATAATGTTGTACTCACGTTATTGAATGTTTTGTGCACAATAAAGAGTATATGTCTATCCATCTCTGTCTATCTATTGAAACATACTATTCTGGATATAATAAGATGTTATTTACATCTAGCTGAAAGGATTTTAATGCACGATCATTTGTTTCTACAAATTATTTACCGTTACTTAACCATCATTCCAGAGCCATAAGACGATACTTTTTTTTTCCGTGCGGAATTCCCCTCGGATACCACCTGTCGGTGGCATGTCGCATTCGAACCGACTAAAACCGCAAGCCGTCTCGGGTACTAATAGCCGGGGAACCAGGTATACCCTAGAAAGGAAGTCCCTGGTGCTCCTACATACCTCGGGCAATCTACAGACGAGTAAACGAACCCCCCAGTGTGGGAACCCCATGTTCCCTCTGCTCCCTGGAAGCGAGCGCGCTTCGCAACGCGCTCGCCGCCACCCCGGCCTGCTTCGTCGTCTTGAGGTCGTTCTGCGACCTCCGGCGCCTGAGTCGCCTGCGGTACCTGGCCCGTTCTCGGGCCTGGCGGGCCGGGAGAGTTCTAAAACTCTCCCGGTCCCGCTCCGCCGTCTCCTTCGCGAGCATAACTTGCTCGCAGAAGGAGACGGCAGAGTTCCACGCACTCTCGCTTCGCACAATAGCCGCAATCAGACTATCGAGCGAGAGAACTCCCACTCCGATGGCCGCCACGAGGTCTCGCCTCTGCTCAACCCACGCCGGGCACTCTGCCAGCGTGTGGAGAGCCGTGTCCACGGTCTGGCCATCGCAGTGGTGGCACTCAGGCGTTGGCTCCTTGCGGATCAGACACAGGTCATCCCCGAAACATTATTTCCCAGTGATCACCTGCGTCAGACGGTATGAGAGGGTCCCGTGACGCCTCTCGAGCTAATCCTCCATAAAGGGTCTTACCGCCGCGATGACGGCGTGCCCGAAGACGATACTGATCAATTTATCATTAAACATACTACGTACTTCGGCATAGTACGATATCTCATGACAATGACTCATATGTTTACATAAACAATACAGTTTTAAACTTGTACTTTGTACTTATAGGCCGCTTACAGGTATGGCGAGTCTCGACAAGTGTCCACAAACACAAACGTGTAAACGGGGTGCTGGCTCAGATCGCGTATGCTCGTCGTCGATCGGTACTAGTATCGGTTTTCGAACCGGAAAGGAAGCTCGCTATTTACACATTGGCGCGTGCTTGTTCCCTACTGCTCAATTTGATATTACAAGTATTGTGTTGAGCAGTCGGGAAACAACATTAAGTCTCAATGCTCTACTGATTGAGCAGTTTAGTTGAGCAGCAGGGCTAGATAATATATTATTTTTAGTTTCTTATCTTGTTTGCCTGTCCGGAACACAATAGCACACTCGCAAGCGTGTAAATGGCCTCCAAGCGTTTGTAGAGACTTGCAGCTTATGGACGTTTGCCAAGCCTCGGCACGCATGTAAACTAGGCATTAAATTTGTCTAAGTTACCAGTGTTTGGTATTACAAGACTCTTTAACAATTATATACGTATAATCCATATATGTGTTGCCCACACTCTCAAATGGCAATTTAATAACTTTAATTTAACTGCACGGATGGCGTCGCCGAAGCGGTCGCCACGCCGCTTCCTATTACGCCGAGTGTTGTGGGTTCAAACCCCACATGGAATAACACTTTGTGTGATCCACAAATTGTTGTTCTGAGTCTGGGTGTACTTTGTGTCCGTTTCATGTATGTTTGTAAAGTTCCCCGCGACACAGGATTTATTCTTAGTGCGGGAGTTGTCTTTTTAAAAAGAAAGAAAGAAAAAAAGAAATATGTTGGTAATTACCAACAATCCGTTTGGTTACGCACGAACCAGTGTGTTGGTAGTTACGCCTCGTAAAAATTTATCATTGTTCACTTAGTAAGAAAAAGTTATGAAAACATGCCTTCGTCATCAACAGCCTTTAACAGTCCACTGCTGGACATGGGCCTCCCCTTAGAAAGAAGGTTTTGGCCTACAATACCACGCTGGCCAGACGGGTTGGTATAGGGTTTGTGTCAAGTTTTCCTTCTCTCTGCAGTGCTGTTGTCCTGCGTATTTCGCTCCCTTAGTCGCCTCTTACGACACCCACGGGATAAATAGGGGTGATGACACTCTGTATTCTTAATCCGTCACCACACGGACAGGGTATGAAAACATGCCTTCGTATGTTTTTATAATCGTCGTCATTACTCTTTAAATTTAAAGGGACAAACTCAACACGACATATCCACTTACAGCACTGTGTTTAAAATAATTGAACAATCACACAGAGAAGAATGGTACACATCTATTTCAGAGAAACCAATTAAAAAAATGTATGGTGTAAGTAGAGGAAACAAGGGCCCTGTTATTCAGTAACTGATGCCGTCCTACTTCAGACCTTAAAATAGTCTTAAGGAAAAAAAACTATTTTAAGGTCTGAAGATATACGCAAAAAATGTCAAAATCCGAAAATGCGACTTATCACCTTCATCCACTTACGTCTTCAATTATTTAACACGGGCTTTCTGTGAGGCTGTGGTATCACTTCATATAAATGTACTTTTAATTATTCTAGGACCTTAACTTTTACCGATACATCTTTTACGGTGCAAGCAGCATGCCTCGCTTCGCCTGGAATTCGTTACCGTAAGCTATAAGGTGGACAAAGTCAGTTTGTACATCTCTGTAATAACTAAGTGCTACATGGGTATGTGTATGAATATGTAATTTGTAAATATTAGCTAATATACGGAAATTGTAAATGCGAACCACTTGCTACATATTACTATACATATAGTATAACTCATCTAAAGGTTGAACCTGGTTGAACCCGGAAGAGATCGTAGACTGCGATAAGGCCGCCCATTGTAGCTCTTTTTTGTATGTATCATCATATTTATCCTAAATATGGTGTGCAATAAAGATTACCTATATCTATTTATCTAATAATAATAAAACTTATATACCTTGGTACAAATTCACAACACATCCCACGTAAGAGTGTTTGAAGGATAGGTATCTGTGCCAGTAGTTGTATAACTTGGTGCCGATGATCTCATGAACATGGTCAACACCAACAGAAGGGCCCAGGAGCGCCAGGGAATTCTTGTAGAAGAACATCACTTGTGTTGCAACCGCACCTGTTACAAACAAATTATAAGGATCAGAATATGATTATTGAAAGAACACTTTCTAAGGAGAGGTCTATGTCCAGCGTTGGACTAGTAAAGGCTGATTGTTTTATTAATTTGTCAATTATTGAGGACAAGTCATCTTAAGTCACATAATTAATGATTTATTTGTTTTTTTTCTTTCACACACATGTCTAATTTTAACATTTGCTCAGTATAATTTCGATTGTATCTATGGATATCAAGTCACATACAATACCAGGCCCTATGTCAATCATTTCAATAGTTACAATAGAAAATCAAACAATGTGATATAATGAGTAAGTGATGTGTGTGTGACTGTGATATATGATATTAAATTGTTCAAAATAGTAACCTCATTACAAACAAAGCTGTAATTGCACTTCAGTTTTTCTTTACATTTTTTTTTTTTTCTTTTAAGAAACAACCTCTGCACTAGGAATACATCCTGTCGCGGGAGACTTTACAAAAATATACATGAAACGTACACAAAGGACACCCAGACTCAGAACAACAATTTGTGGTGTACACAAAGTGACGTCCCATGTGGGATCAAACCCACAACACTTAGCGCAGTAAGAAGTGGTGATGTGAGCGCTTAAACCAATTCGCCTTCGGTGAGGTCCTATTCCAATTAAAGAAATAAGGTGTAAGTTACTTACCAACAACACTTGGTTTTCTAGTATCCTGTATACTCTTTTCAAGAATACACTCCTGTGCCTGAGCGAAACAAATCTCTTGCAATACTCTCACAATCTCTGAACACACATCCACTCCTGAGGGTTGTGGATATAAATCCCTCAAGTACTGAAAAGCCCAAGCTGCTTGTTGAAAGTGTGTGCATGCAGCCTTGAGGCTGTCTGCTGTGTTGCGTGGCTCTGAAGCCCCAAGTTGAGAATGTAAAGCTCCAATATTGTACAGGATAGATGCCATCTCGAACCGTAAGTCTGCAGATGAGCAATTCATGCCTGCATATATGTCTTTCCTAAAATAGTAAACTTTTAAGTACAGAACTGCTTTACATACTCCTGAGGTGTGTATAAACTTGATCAAGAACATTCATGATGTAAAGAACAGATTGACTAATTAAACCATACAACACCAAAATAAATTAATCAATAATTATAGAATGTAACTTATCTAATCCCTACAAATAAATAAAATTGAAGTTCCCGTTTGTAATGTCAAAATAATAGGTTTTTATCATGCTCTTGGTTAGTTGCAAGATCGTCTGTCTGTCTGTGTGTATGTTAGTTCCGGGTAATCTTCTAAACAGCTGAACTGATATTGATAATATTTCACTACCAGGTAGGTGTATATATAAGGAGGAACTAAGGCTATTTTTCCTCTCAGAAAAACCCTTTAAAATTTCGCCCAAATCAAACCAAGGCAGCACTTATTAAATTCCACGCAAACAAAGTCCTAGGTACCAGCTATCTATAATATAAGTATTTGTAACATAACACTTTGTTGTTGTATGTTTTAATATGAGAAAAATGTGCTGAGCACACCCCTTGATACATTCAACCCTTGATTCATAAGAACCCAAGAACCTACTACATTATACTGCAAATAAAAATACTCTATTCTAAAGCAGACACTTTTAGCCTTATATATAAAAATACAGTTACACTTTTTGAAATCTTGTCCTAGAAAACTATAGACAGTGAAGATTCTATCTTTAAAATTTAAATATGTCTGCCAGCAATTTAGATTAAAAAAAAACATAATAATACTATGTCATTCATTGCCAAATGACAAATTAGACACAAAAAAGATTAGACCAATCTAGGCATTGTTGTTGGTAAAGTTTGAAAACAATAACATTTTTTGTGTAGTGTTCTCATTATCAGTCAATGATCGTATCAACGTCATCTGTAAACAGGTCATCAAATGATAAAATGATTCATGCAAATTGAAAAGCTGTAACTAATGTGACAGCAGTTAATAATTTAATTAGATTTACCAGCAGAAAGAACACGCCGCAGGTTGACCTTTCGACATCGGGAATCGGCTTTGCATTGCCCGTAATTGGCAAAAGTATCTGACTAAAGCGTTTAGTCCTGCGGTATCAATTGAAGGTCGCACCGCCGCCGACCGCAGCCCTTCCAATTGATGTATTTCATTGCTATAGCTCTCTGGATCCTCCCTGTATGCTTCCGCAATGTACTGAAGAAAAAAGTACAATATATATGACAAAGAAAAAGAAAATACTGAAACCATCTTTATCAGGGATTATGAGACCTACTTACCTGTTTTAATTTTGGTCCAAAATGAGTATTTTCTGGACTCGCCTTTAACTCAAAACTTATTAGAGGTAATTTTGGAACCGCTTCCATGTTTTAAAAGCAGTCTTTACCTGTTTCAACTATTTTTCATACGATAAAACAATTTCATCACAAATTAACTATTTGTTCCACTGACATTTTTTTGTGTTTAATTTAGAGTAGTCCAACACTGTTATGATTAAAATATCGGTAATAAGCGATTATTTAAAAATACTGACATTCTCTTTAGCTTAAAGTAAAGTAACAAACCCATCTTAGGTTTTTGGGTTTACGTAGCCAAAGGGTAAAACGGGACCCTATTACTAAGACTCCGCTGTCCGTCCTTCCATCTGTCCGTCTGTCACCAGGCTGTATCTCATGAACCGTGATAGTTAGATAGTTGAAATTTTCACAGATGATGTATTTCTGTTGCCGCTATAACAATAAATACTAAAAACAGAATAAAATAAATCTTTACGTAGAGCTCCCATACAACAGACATGATTTTTTTTGCAGTTTTTATAGATGATGTCTGTCTGTCTGTACGTCTATCACCAGGCTGTATCTCATGAACCGTGATAGTTAGATAGTTCAAATTTTCAGAGATGATGTATTTCTGTTACCGCTATAACAACAAATGCTAAAAACAGAATAAAATAAATCTTTACGTGGAGCTCACATACAACAGACATGATTTTTTTTGCAGCTTTTATAGATAATATAAAGTACAGAACCCTTCGTGCGCGAGTCGGTACGGTACGGTAGTAGCCTTTCGCAGGCGTTCAATTCTGCCAAAATATAAGTCCACATGGTCATATGCGTACAATAAAACTAGTTGCGGTCAGACCGCTTACTAGACTAAATCTAGTTGCACTGCCGAGTAGACGACACTAGCCGCCCTACAAAAATGAGTTTAGTTTTTTGCTTCAAAAAGAGATCGGCCACGTCAAGTTTACAAAAAGATAGATAGATAGAAAAAACTTTAAGTAATATCAATTATGATTGTTGTAGTAATAAATAAAGTTCTATCTAAATTAATATCAGCCTTATATCACTTTTTAAACCTGATTTCCCTAACTGACTTCCCGAATTTATCGATATTGCATATCGATGGTTGTTACAAACACGGTTTCTTGGCAACATGTCAATGTAGTGCGTCACTTCATAATACTATTATTACACAAAATGTGCATATTTGTGTATAAAATTCATAATGAGTTGTTTTTATTGTTATGTTGAGTTTCGTGGTGACAGCCAATTGTTTTTGTCTGGCAGTATGAGAATGTGTGCGTGGTGAAGATCCCTCCCACCCTCCTGCAAAAAATGACTAACTATTTTGTATCGCGAACCCCAATTTTGCTCACAAACACTAGTTTCAACAAGTTAATAATTATTTTTTCTTGTTTCTCTTAAAGAAACCGTTTTTAAAAACCGATCTTGTCAAAAAGATCTCTTATTTCACTACTCTAGTCAAGTTAAGGGCACTTTTAATGTTGCTAGATCAAGAGTTTTCCCCAATAACTTTGAAGAAAGAAGAAAATGAATAACTTAGAAAAGTCCTATTCCTATTCAAAATATTTATTTTTATGGTAGAGTGAAATATTGGTGAATATAAATCATAGTTTATTCTTCATTATCAATGGTATTTATGGACAAATCTTTGAACTACATTCGTCTAGGTACCTTTCTGCACAATTTATTTAGTAATTTAATATTTAAAGTCCTTGTCATCTTGCTATGTGACAAACACCCAAGATTTTATATATTAAGAGGTAGATTTATTAAGAAATAAAAGAAAACTAATGTCTCGCTTTATACGATTTCCAGACATCGTCCAGCATCTTCATTACCATTCACTTTTTGAGGAAAAAAATGTATTAGACATGGTAGCACTGTGTGTTGTGTGTTCCTACGGGCACACTTATTAGCAATTTTCATTTTTAACAAAGATACGTAAAATAACTAAGAAAAGTTTACATGAAACTTTATCAATATGAAGTTGAAAAAACCTAAAACTGATACTGAGGTAAAAAGAGTCATAAATGTTTTTATTTACGTGTGTATAACTAAGGTCTAATCTGTTGTCTAGGCTTGTAGTTCATTCAAAATAAATGCCGATGTCAATTGTTTACGCTTCTTAAAGCTATTGGCAAGTTCTATGCCTACAAAACCGCTGACATTCTTTTATAAAGTTCTCGTCGTTAGACAGTCCAAAACCAAAACATATTTTAGGTTTGCTTGAATTTTAATCATCAACTTTTTATAGGCCTTTAATAGTCCCCTGCTGGACGTAGGCCTCTCCTTAGAAAGGACGTTTAATTCTAATATGATAGGTAAATATCAAAGTGTACCTCAACATATTCATGAATTACATTGAGCTAAGACTGTGCTTATAAGTCACATAGTAATTACATGGAAAATTATGTTCAAAATCTTTTTTCAAAATAAGAATTTTAAGAACCAAGAACATAAGTTTGAAGCTCTGAAAAATGAAATTCTCAAAATTAAATCATTAATTTAATGTTTTAGGAAGTAGTACCTCCTCAAGCAGAGATCATAGAAGCAGATCTATACAAGCGTTCATACTTTGGTCCTGATGTTCCGACATTGGAGTTGGAATGTTGGGAAGAGGAACTCTCGGAGGCTCAACTTCAAGCATACAAGAATGCAGATGATGAATATAAGAGCATACAGAGTAAATTGGATGATATGGTGAAGGATACTGGTGGTCAAGTGGTGTATAATGGTGACCAGTTTACTGCTTATCAGCTACTTGGAAAGTAAGTGTACACAATCTGTATAAACAAATAAAATTGTTGTGTCTATTTGTCACATTATAATAATAGCATTTCTACTTAATATTTAAATGTAAAAGAAGGTGATCATTAATTATTGTTTCATTGTTAGTAGGGATGAAATAAAATCACAATCACATGTTATAAATCATATAATATATAATTTATATAATTACACCTGTGACTACAAAACTACTAAAAAAATCTCATAATCTTTAATGAAAAGAATTTTGATTGTATTTAATTGCATCTATCTTTATCTACGACAAAATCACAATCACATCTGAAAACGCATTGACTAGAACCAATCATTTTAACAAATCATTATTATTTAATAGTAGCAATAATTTCCATTTCTAATTGCTATATACATAACAGCTAATTAAGAAAATTCCATTTTAAAGTCCATAGTAGTTTATCAGTAACATTACTTTTTCACAGACAACCTGTTCTCAAAGATTTGGAGAGACAGAGCGCTGAGATTATTAGATCTAGATCTCGGTCCATGTCTATATCTAAGGAGAAAGAGAAGCCAGCAAAGAGAGGTAAGAATTGTCTTTTTATAGAATTTAAACAGAACTGTCAGTTCCTTTTCTGTCTGTTTGAATTAGAGAGAGATGGGCGAGACCTCTTTAGTAATGGATATTCTATGGCTGATGAAGATTAATAATGTTGTTTAAATTGATGTAGAAAATATATTTTTAATCTACTGTATGTATAGAAACATGTTTCTTTGCTAATTTTAAATTATTTATTGTTTTATTACTGTAGTATACATTCATCCATCCTTTACTAGTCCACTGCTGGACATAGGCCTCTCCTTAGGAAGGAGGTTTTGGCCTACTATACCACGCTGGATATGGGTTGGTATAGGGTTTGTTTCAAGTTTTCCTTCTCTTTGCAGTGCTGTTGTCCTGCCTAGTTTGCTATATGTTATGGGTAATTTACATATTATTTTTAGCACTTACAGGAGAAAACCAGGGCTAATAGCTTTTTATTACTTAGAAACTATTACATTTTGTAATAAAGTGTACACACAACATTCTTGTTGCTTAATTATTCATGATCTTCAAAATGATTTAATAGGTCTTCTACACAAGTTTCTAAACCTACAATATTGTATAAATCAGGCTCTAACAGCAGTATCCTGTGTAATATTATCCAAATAAATTCTTTCAAGTAGGACAGAAATTATACTTGTTTACACGAAATATCTAGACACAATTTTGTTATCATGATTCAAAATCTTCATTCATTCAAATGTTGCTTTATTCTAAATAGGTCGTCCAAAAAAAGTCAACCGCGAAGAAGATCGTGACTATTCTCCGTCGCCTGTCAGAGAAAAATCGCCAGAAGTCAAAAAGAAGAAGAAGAAGGACAAAGAAAAGTACAAAGAGAAAGAAAAAGACAGAGAAAAGGACAAGGAAAAAGAAAAGGATAAAGACACTAAAACTAAAGATAAAACTTTGGCCCCCTCCAGTAAGTATATTATCAATTTTTTATTTTTTAAAACAATAGAAAAAGTAACTGGGATTGGAGCTTGAAAGCCCTAGAGAGTATTTAGGAGTCATTTAAAAAAATATAAAGTGACTTTTCATTTAACACATTTATACTCTTAAAACTCAATATAACTTTCAAACTTTCGATTTGGCTTGATCGGTGATCACTGCCAAATCACACTGGCCATAATCACAGCCTGACTACCTATTATATCGATTAAGTGAATCGTTAATAAGTCTCTATTATTATATTGTGATTTTTTATGATGAATATATTTATTCCACAGATGTCCACAGTGTGGTCACTAATGTGCGGCCATCAGAAGCCACAGCCATTGGTGGCTTGCTCACTGGAAGTGCAACTAAAGCTACTGCTATTGTGGACTTGACTAAAGACGATAGCAACAAGAATGTTGCTGATTCTAGAGAAGTTTCTTTCAATAAGTTGCAAGGTAAGATGCCTACCTTTGAATTGTGAAAACAAACATGTCTTTATGTAATTAATCCATCATGATCTTGATTTAAATCTTCTACAGGCAAAACCTTCCCATCACTGGTGGTGGTTGCGCGCCCATACCTCCGCGCGAAGGACCAAGCCCCCCCTTCAGACCGGTCAGCCTTGGACAGCAAGGTCAAGTCTGTTCTAATGCACACTCCGATGAAGTTTACTGAATGGCTTATACAACAAGGACTGGTCAGATCTGAACAGTGGTGTGTTATACACCCTGGAAATAAGCTTAAACTTGGTATGTAGAACGATGGTAGTTATTTCTGCATGTTAGCTACATATATGCCTATTTGAGGGTATGAAATTTATAAACCTAAGCAGTTATTTCTTGGTGACTTGTTCATAAAAATTAATCTCTATAACTATCACATATATTTTAATGGTTCTTTATGTGTTCTTATCATTTTTTTGTAGTTTCAAAGACATTTATATACACATTATATAAAAAACTGTTCTAAAATTTATTCTCAATGAGTCAGTTTTAAATTCAGAGCAGAGCAGGTACTACAGAATAAATTATATTCTGTAGTACTAAACATTTTATTCACGTTTTCTGTCTTATGTCTTTATTATGTTTACATTTTATTATGATAATTACAGGCATGTATTCTGACGTATCGAAATTCCCCTATTCCGGCGGCTACGTATGGATATCCGAATGCTGTCCCACAAGATTCGTCTCCGTTTACTCCAGCTCCATATTTGAAGGAGCCACATTCCCTCCCAGCGTTCTATTGAAGCTTGTCTACCACTGGGCTTGTCAAACGAATGTTCAAAACGTTGTACAATGGGTTAAAGTGGACAATTTGTATGTAAAAGGGTTGTTTACATGGCTAAGGGCAGTGTGTACTTCGGCTATTCATCAACATATGGGGTTATTGGGTGGTTCTGGCAAAAAGGTAGAGGTTGGAGTCATATCGTTGGGCACTACAAGCCATGATGGTACACAGAGACAAGTGAAAGTCGAAGTTTTGGGTGTCCTGGATCCTACTGAGAAAATGGTAAATTTATTTGAATAATTTATACTTTTAAATATGTATGAAATGATATTTAAATGCCTGGTGCTAGCGAAGCTTTTCGTCGTATTTGTTTATTAAGACTTACCCGACACTAATTCCAAACAAGAAATAAAAATATTTACTAATAACCACTTTTTCTTTACTTTTAAATAGGACTACAAAAACTAATTTAACAATAGATTATATTATTGAACATTATATACACTTAAATGTATCTTGTGTGTAGTCATGTAAAGAGCTGTGAACGTAATTAAATGAGTTCTTGTTACTTTTAGATTCGTCTCCGCGCAGTTGAACCTTTAGCAGAACACGAAAAGAACTATAAAAAACGCTTCCAAAAGATTCTCGAACCCTTGACGAATTGGGTGCATCAATCTTCCATCATTTTAACTGATTTGACTGTAGACAAAGGCACCCTTGTCTCTATGGGATTCAAAAACGTCCACCAATCGTCCTCCCATTCTGACCAACCTGGCAGAAACACTAACGCAAACATTATGGAATATTTGAGAAGAATTGTGCCAAGAATGTTCCAGAATACATTGTCGTTGTTGTCGAGACAGATTATCCAGCAGTTCTTGGATGAACTGGTTTGGAGAGAAATGTAAGTTTATTGCTTAATCGATTGCTTTTCTTTATTGTCTGAAGCCTTTACAGTTGTTATTATTGGAAATTATATTTTGAAGTGATAACTTTTATGGGAGGGTAAACCGCTTCGTTACGTAACGCGTTACGGCGCTAGTCTGTCTGGCTTCCCTTTCTCTCACGTATACGGCAGCGGTAGGCAGGCTCCTCCTCTCTCACTCTAACCCACAGCGCTAGCCGTATTTCGAACAGACGCTTTACATAAAATTTAAGTAATAACCTAAGCTTTTCTCAAGTTAAACAAATTTTAGTTACATAACGGTAACGATAAATCTAAGTATATTGACGATAATTATATTATTTTGGTATAAACAAAAACGATCTTTTTCAAAAATATATTAGTTCATAATCGCTTCACGTATTCTTTATAATAATATCGGTTTCGCTTTCAACCGAGGTTTATTTATTTGATAAACATATGAATTTCTTTTAGCTATGGCATATCACCGGGTCTAGCGTTTGACAATATAGTAACGCATATAGCACAACAAAGCAAGATGGAATCAAAAGATCCTATTACAGTTCGCCTCAACAAGATTGCTGCGAATCCCTTCAAGAATTGGAAATACCCTACGGGCAAGGTATACTATTATAATATTAGATACATTTTCGTATCGAATCGTCAGCAAAAGTTTTAAGGCAATTAAGTTTTCACTCTAAAATTTAAAAAAAACGTTTTATATTCCATTTATAAAATCACTTAAATAAAATTCCTTCTAAAGTAAGTTCTATGAATTTTCTTGTTAGAATATAAGTATTTCGTTGTCTTTATTTACACGCGAAATACAAATTTTATGATTAATACAAACTGAGATAATAATAAATGTTTGTCAACTGAGATAATAATAAAACTGTTTTTTGGATTGCATTTTAAATTATATAATATAGTATATCTATCCATTTGTTCTCATGGCTTCTTAGGCTCTTGTAGCAACCTCTTTTTCCTGTACATATTCTTGCACTTTTTTCTACGTCTTCATATTTTTCTTTTTGTGTTCATTAATCAAACTCATATTACATTCCTTTTTAACTTTTTATTTTTAAAAATACCAACATGAAAATTTATCTTAATTTTATAGGCCAGTAAAAAAGAGAAGGTAGAAGAGCCAGAGCCAGAAACAGGTCGTGGTAAACGCGGTCGTAAAAAGAAAGAACCATCTCCTTCTCCGCCGCCCAAGAAGAGAAAGAAGGAGAAGACTACCTATATTGAAGAAGATGATGAAGAGGTAAATAGTAATGAGCCCTATACAGTTATACATTTTTGTAATATATTTCGATATAACAACTTGTCATATTTTTTTCATTTATTTTCCTTTACAGATACCTCTGGCACAGAGTCGAGCTAAAGCTACAAAGATAAAAGAAGAAAAAGAAAAAACAAAAGATAAAAAGGCATCTGCTTCAGACACTCCCGAAGTGAGCGCTAGAGGTCGCAGAGGTAAACCTATCCGGTCGTATGTTGACGACGACCTGGACGACATTCCCTTGAAAAACATTAAAAAAGAGGTGGCCCCACAAGAGACCTTGTCTATGGAAAGGTATTATTTCGGACAAATCGGCGGCGTTACTAATTCTGAGAAAATGGCAATAGCTGTTGAGGTGAGTTATATTTTACAAGATTTGTATTCTTTGTTTGGTTTATGGGCTTTAGTAAAAATATAATTAAATAAATGATTTCAAATGTAAATAGCGCATATTTGAGGAAAATAATTGTTTCTTGTGAGGGTTGAACCAGCTACATAAAAGGTATTACACTTAAACTACACATCACATCACATCAACAGCCTGAAACAGTCCACTGCTGGACATAGGCCTCTCCTTACAAAGGAGGTTTTGACCTACTATATCTACTTAAATTACAATCTGTATACAATTTCCTATTGACCCCAATAGCAGTTTATTTATGTCTACTTTTTTTACAGTGTCCTGTCTGCCACATAGAATTTAATGACAACTTCCTGCTGATGACGCATCTATACCAACATGCAATTCCATCTAGCGACGGTTCAGAATCCCAGTGTCTCTACTGTCTCACACGATTCCCGTCCGAGGATGAGTTGACTACCCATCTCAAACACAATCACCCGGCTGATACTAAGTCACCTGACCTGTTCACATATGCGTGTCTTATTTGTGAGGTAAGTTCGAAATTGGTAAAATTACTTAGACTGCAGATATACAAACAAAAATACATAATTAATACGACCAAGTGGTAATAATTTTTTGGTTGCTTTAAATTTCAGAATTCTGCTCCTTACCTATTAACAAAAAATGCGTTCTTAGTTTAAAATCTTTTTTTTCTCAGTGAGAATAATTATTTCACTCTGTAAACGTGCACTGGAATACAGCATACAAGATCAAAGTCACCGAGTAGTTCAGTTGGTCTGTTCAAGATGACTCTGATAATGTTTTTTGTGTATGCTGATGATGCTACCGATCGATCTTAATTATGTATCGAGACTCGTTTTTATTATTGTGAAAGCTATCAGTTTTGGAAAACAAATTACGTAATACGATACGAGTGTCTATCGGTGTGCGTGTGCGCAGGTCCGCTTCGCGGCGGTGCTGACGCTGGCGTCGCACATGCAAAAGACGCACGCGCCGCTGGAGCTGCCGTACGCGTGCGACGCGTGCGACTACCGCGTGTCGTCGCACCGCGCCGCCGCCGACCACTACCGCGCCGCGCACGCGCGCTCCAACACCGTCTTCTGCCCCTTCTGTCTCAAGGTGATCTTCCCACCGCACTTACACGACTCACTGCTACACGCATCACGAATACTTTTCATCATTATTTTTTGCCACCTCTGACTTTACCTACCATTATGACGAACTCGTAGTGTTTTTCAGAATATAATATACTACATAACTATCTATATTTCAAGTTTGACAAATTCATTATTAATCAAAAATATAAAACATATAAAACATTATTTAGTTATGAACCACGTAATTACTAATATCATATCGAAATTATTTTACACAAAATTAAAAGAATAAATAACAAGTAACGATAACTTACATATGAGAGCACTATTACCAAAAAAGCAAATAAAGATTAAAAACTCAAAAGAAAACGAATGAAAGTTACAATAGGGAATATGCATGTATTTTTTTTATTTTTTTTAACGATTCTACTAGTTATTACATTACCAAAAATAAATATAACACATCCGAAATATAAACCGTTAAGCAAAAAAAAATTTATTAAAATCACTATCATTTTGGGGCAATTTGAACACGTCCATTTTGGCGCGCTTTTTTCGTGACGTCAGATTACACTTTCAGACGAATTCGATGTCAACAACGGAGTGAAGTTCACAAAGTTTCTGAAAGTTAAAAAAGTGAGTGATAAAAATTAACTCATTACCATGGAAAGCCAATAAAAACATATTATAGATATTGTGCCGTTCCTTTGTGCCCAAATAATATCAAAACTGCACCTGACAAAGTATATTCAGTCATTGTGTTGAGTCTTTCTACACGGGGAATTTAATAATTTAACACTGAAAACGTATTAGTTATTAACTTAAAATGAAACAAATAATCACCAGAAACCAAATATTACAAATACACACAACTTGTTGACACTCTTGACAGTGTAGGTTGACGTCACGTTTTATTCAACCAATGGCGTTGCGTTTTAGAAATTTGCGAGGGAATCTTAAAAAAGCCAATTTTTGATGATTAAATTTCACTATTAAATTATAATAAATTTCAAAAATAATTGTATGGGTATCTTTTTTCAGCAATAAAAATTACAAATAAAAATATTTTGTCCATTTTGGTGTCACGTGCATATTCCCTATTAGTCTTATTCGTGTGACCTCATCTCTATCACCGCGCACACTCCTTCTTTGGCTTCCTGTTACACATTTCCGTCCCTTTGCACAGATTACAGGAGAAAGAGGAGAGATGTATGTACAAAAATATAATTAGCATTTGTTAGATTATTATGTAGAGAAAAAGTAAAAATAGCAACATTTCCATTTCATCACTCTCCGTACATTATGTACCTCGTCATTAAGAAAGTCTTCTGTGCAGGTTATCAAAGTGTACGCGAACGGCCACGAGCTAACTGCCAACGTAGTACTGTACTTGGATCATTTGAAACAGCACCAAGACAAAGAGCTGGAAGTTCGGTGTAACAGATGTGTCCTCAAATTTGTACATCTCGGTGAGTCTTTAAGACGTCGATAACTTAACATACAAAGTGTTTTCAGAGAGAAAAAGTATTAAGTATACATGGTTCCTAAGAAAGATAGGTCTGATTTAATCATTTATTTCAGGTCAACTGAAAGAACATCAAGTACGCGACCATATCACAGTCGAGGGTGCAACTCCACTCTGTTCTGAAGAACATTTGATCACTAAACCAAGGGTAAGTTTACTTCAACCATTTATAATGTAGGTTATACGAGGTTTCGGTTGACGTTCGTCAATATTGTACAAAGACTTTACCCCATTTGACGGGTTTTAGCTACTTCTGATTAGTATTTTCATGTTTTTATTTCTGTAGAATAAGGCCCGACCGCCAGTGAAAGACTCTGCGTGTCATACTATAAGCGAAACCTTGGAAGGTCTGACCCTGGTGTTGCCGGATGGTATGCTGTGTAGAGAGTGCGACACACCGCTCGAAAGGGATAAACATTTCTTGTAAGTATTGTGTTCAATATTACAATAAATTACGTGTGCCAGTAATTAGATAAAAGGCTCGTGTTTCAATAATATGAAAATAACTCATGACACTACTAGTAATTACAATTATTGCTTTAGAAGAATGCCTTTATAAACTGAAAGCACTGAAACCTGGTTACAAGGAGGTGCCACGGTCCCTTTACAGTATAATGCAGTGCAATGTTTGTGTCCAGGGGTAGGACTCGGTGCACGAAGTGTTCGTACGTGACGCAGTGCTACCGCGCCATGCTGCGGCACAGCGGCTACTGCGCGGGCCCGCACTCGCTCGAGGACGCGCCGCGCCCCGCGCCGTACCGCACGCACTGCGTGTGCGGGTACAACACGCCCATCGGTACGCGCTCCGACCTTCTCTACATTTTATTCCCAAATGTTTAGCCACACTTGCATATAAAACTAAATGGTACCCGCAACTTCGCTTGCGTATTTCTTTCCGCATCTTTCTCATACTCATTTTTATCCTATATATAACCCTCTTCGAGATTTGATTTATGACCAAAACTAAAATCTCTTATCTCTATAAAAAAAATAATCAAATCGCTTTTAGCGATTTAGGTGTAGATACGAACAGACTGACAGGATTACTTTTATATTTGTAATATTACTACAAAAAATAAAAATGTTTTATTCAGGCACTGACATGTTGACGCATTTGCTCATGTGTGACCACAAGAGTGCGTATAGCTCCGAGGAGGAAGCCCGCGCCAATACGGTTCGGTCCGGCGAAGACCCGCCTGTCAACTTACCCTCTAAAACAGTAGAAGAAACACCGCCAGCGGTCGAGCCGGTATGTATTTTGAAAACAAGGTTGATCAAATACAAATATGATGCCTTGTATTTTCTTGATTGATTATTTTCATGATTCTTGATTGATGTAATTTCGGCAAGAAATATATATTTAAATCTATGCTGAATGCCATTTGTTAAAATAGAAGAGAACAATTAATAATTTACTTTCCCACAGGCGGTGGAGAATGTGCCAGCTATATCAGACTACGCGCCTCCGTCTGTACTGAACACGCAACTTTCGCTGGATGACCTGGGACCACCCTCTGTGTTGCAATCTGACCAGGTACACGCATATTTTACTTAATGTAATAATAATAACAATTATACTAACAACATCTCTGCCTTATTTACTAACTAGCTTTCCGGTAAAAGCGCGGTAGCTTTCCAGTACTGAAAGAATATTTTAAATCGGTTTAGTGGTTTAGGCGTGGAAGCGTAACAAACAAACTCAATTTCACAAAAAATTTTAATCATGAACAGAATTGTGTGTTTGGTACATTATAGTACACCATACATTGTAGTCAACAATTAATTCGTCGTTTCTCATAGCTTTCTAGTTCTTGAAGCTGTGTGCACAGTAGAATTCGAGTAGTGTCGAGCTTAGTATTAATCATTCTTAAATTACAAACAGCAATTTGGTACGGCCATATAACTTCTATAAAATTGAATGGCCGTAGTTAGATATTAACTTATATTTAAAGAACCCCACTCGGTATAACGCTGCTTTATGTACAACTCTACAAGTATGGCGCCTTCGATGTTTTGCACTGGCACGCACCGCATCGCGTTATTCTTTAGTCTATGTACTTAATACACAGTAGAGAAATTTAATAAACTATAATAAAGAAAAAAGCTTATTATATTTTATTCAGACATTGAAAGGTAGGTAGGTAAAGAAATACCTATATGCTATTTGATAGGTTACCTACCAAAAGTTGACTGTTGTTTTCCTAATTAATGTATTAGTGTTATCATTCACAGTTAGATACAAGGTCTGTCAATAAGGTCAAACTTAGCTTTAAGAAGTGGTAGTCATTTCGATTTATGGTTTTATCTAAAAATTATAACTGTTTTGTCAGCATGATCAAGAGCTACTAAAGGATGCGTACGACCGTCCGTTAGCAACCCCTCGTCATGAAGAACCTCATTATAGTCTCGGTGACTTCGAGCCTTTACCACAAGAACCACCACCGCAGCCGGACTTCGAGCAACTTTAGACAACACCAGGATAAACAAATGATAAAACATAAATTGCAAACTCGGGAATTGTACAGCTGATTTACATCAACATTACAAATTAAGTCTTTGTTATTCGGCCTGTTTAAATAGCTATATTTGGTTCATACTTGTGATTCAATCTTTCTTTGTATTCATTTCTTCTCTAAAATTTAGAATAACAACTTGCAGTACAACTTGATTTTTGGAATATTGAAAATTGCACCAGCAATTTTTTTAGTGATATAAATGTTATTTTTCCTATTATGTAAACAATTTAAGGCAGCAGCAAGCTTCCATTTTGCATACCGAAAAGAAACTACATAAAAAAACAGTTTCCAGTAAGGAAAAGTAGAATAGTTTATGCCACCTTTCCATAATAATTATAAAATATGAGGTACAATCTAATCAGAGCTATTGGGGTAGGAATATAAAGAGGAGAGGAGTGTTATGCAATATTTACTAAAACTATACAAAAGAACTAAAAGTTTTTTTTATTTTTGACAGTTCAATAAATACAAATGTATTTATATTTTAAGGCAATTTGTAATTGTATTAGGTAAGAATGAAAGGGGAAATTATAAATTTAATAAATTGAAATTAGAATTATGTAAAGATGATAATTAAAACTTCAATAGTACATTGCATGTAATACTTAATATAATTAGAGTAGTTTGTTATACAAAATATTAATATTACAAAATAAATAGATGCTTCGAATTTACTGTTTCACCTTGCCTTTTTTTCTCTTGAATGTAAGAGTGACCCTGTTTGTGACACCATAATCCTGGATACAGGCATCATTATCATCAAGTATGGTGCTGTCATAGTTCAGACTGTAAGTGGACCAAATATATTTCCAAGATATTTTAGCTTTTATTCCAGCTCTCCTTTGATAGATCTCAAAGTGTCTTTTGATTGCTTTCTTCAGTGTCCTTACTGTTGCATTTTGTGGAACCTGACAAAAAATGCCAAAATTGTTAATGTACCCATTTTAAAGGAGGTTGAACTATTATAACATCCAGTGGAAGTATGCATGATACTAATAAATAATAATAATATTCTACCACATTCACACAACTCCATCTAGTCCCAAACTAAGCAAGCTTGTACTATAGGTACTATAAATACATATATAGTTTTTTTGTAAACACATAGTCATACATATTATAGATAGAAACACCCAGACTAAATCAAACATTGAATGTTCATGCACACAAATGACTTGAGCAGTAGTCAAACTGGCAACATTTGGCGTAGTAGTCTGTTGCACAAACCACTATGACATCTAATGATAAGTAATTTTAATATGGTAGCTGAGGGCATGTGGTCTTTAACATAACTTAAAGTAACATAGTAAAGCGCGATTGGCTTAAAATTAAATCATATTAAAGACTTACAATTACTGTCATTGGCACACTGTTATCTCTACGTAAAAAAATTGTAATTGATTGCCCATGCTCCACAGCAATCTGAAATATAAATGGCGTTAAAATAGTAGATTTCACTTTTGTGGTAATAAATCAAGAAAGATCGAGAGTTATATATATTACTTGAGATTGGATTTCTTCAACAATAATGTCCTCAGGAAGATCTCGTAGTAGAGAATCATTTCTCAAAAGTGCGCTAAGGGATGATTGTGTAACTTCCAGCAGCTCATCATGAGATAAATTAAGTCTTATATTCTCTGTTCCATTCATGGTTCCTTTAAATAAACTTCCTTTGAACAAAAATGCTTTCTAATGCTCTTTATATAAATTTCTTATTTTAACTCGTAAGATTTATGTAATGATATGGATGCAACTAATAAAACTATCCTTATTTTTAATATCATTATTCAACAATTACACGTTATTCGCAATTATATGTATTATTAATTTCGGAAACTGTTTTGTTTACAATTCACACTTGACAGTTTGACATTAATGATAAAGAAGATAACAGGAGCAGTGTTACCGCCTGCAAATTTTTGGGATGTATTTGAAATTGAAATTGGGATTGGGAAATTGATCATTGTAATTTAAATCCAGTGTTACCACTAAAATATCGTTTTGGTTTTCCCACGTTTGTGGGGAATTTTTAATTTTTGAAAAAAAATCTTTGTACCGCTTTTAAACATTTTGGCAATACTAATAAATTACAGTAGGACCGGTAACTGATAGGATTGAACCGATCTCTTCTTTTTAGAAACCGGTTGAAAGTTCACCTTCATCTCCACTATAGACTTGCATACAAAAGATTGTATTTTGCTATTTATTTATCTAATAACCGTTTTATAGTATATATAAAGATGCAGCACACCGACCGCCGTGTCTGAGAAATGGGTTTCAATTAGACTTGCAACGAATAGTATATTCGGCAGTATACCGAATACCGAATATTCGACGAGGCCCCTGACCGAATAGCCGAATATTAGGCAAAAGTATTCGGCTGGATTTTAGCGCCAAAAACTTGTACAGACGTGAATTAAATTATGTACCTGTTTATGTACCAATGACTACTTAATAAATGATTATAAAAGAAATGAGAACCTTACCCTTCTAAATTTTGATTAACACAATAATTCAAATACATAGAATCCTCAATTTTTCCAATTCAGAAGATGATTATGTACCTAGTTTCAATGATTCCAAGGTACCAAGTAGTAATTAGGTTAGTAATTAATAGACTTGCAACGAATATTCGGTTACTATTCGGTATTCGGCCTATTCGGCTGCTTTTATTATATTCGGCCGAATACCGAATATCTACATATTATTCCGCCGAATACCGAATACTTAAATAATATATTTTGTCATTGAGAAATAATTGGTAAAATGAAAAATTAAAATCGATTGATTACGTATATATTCATATTTTCATTTCTGTGATAATCATTTAAGTAGTTATTGGTGCATAACACAGGTACATAATCATCTTCTGAATTGGAAAAATGGAGGATTTTATGTATTTGAATTATTGTGGTAATCAAAATTTAGAAGGGTAAGGTTCTTATTTCTTTTATAATCATTTATTAATTAGTCATTGGTACATAAAACAGGTACATAATTTAATTCACGTCTGTACAAGTTTTTGGCGCTAAAATCCAGCCGAATACTTTTGCCTAATATTCGGCTATTCGGTCAGGGGCCTCGCCGAATATTCGGTATTCGGTATACTGCCGAATATACTATTCGTTGCAAGTCTAGTAATTAAACAGAAAAAAAAACAAGAAAGTTTTATTGAGCATTTTTAATCACTTTCTACACACATTACTAACAAATTACATAAACTTTAATGTATTATTGACATAATCAAGAAAATAATCTAATTCACTACAGGTAGGTTTTTTTTAGATCTAAATTGTTTGTTTGGAAACTAAAATTTTCACAAAAATAAATCATATCTCCGCTTAGGAAAAAAAAGGTATCCATGCCTGATTTGAAGTGTTTTGTTGGAAAATACATGTAAAAAAAAATACGGCCTGAGGTGTATCACGATGACTGCATATATTATAAACGATTTTTGTTTTAATGAAAGCGTCACACTCTGCTCGATTTAGATTTATTATGTCTCGTACTACTATTATTTACTCTGACACCTGCAACACAGTCTATATATATATATTATTATTTATATTGGGTTCATTCATCGTGGAAAATTCAGACATGGTAGTCCAGCTAGGTAAGATGAAAAATGGACAATCTTGAGAATTTCAATAACGTAATCTACGCAACTGTCAGGTATGGCAACAAAAAACTCAATTTTCCAGTTTCCTTACTGTCAGTTCAGTCCACCAATTACCCTGTCATTTTAAAATTTGAGGTTATACTGTCATTTTATTTTCCAGTATTACTACGAATTCTTCGGAATTGTATCATCTTTAATAAAATCTAAAAAAAGAATAGAACAGCATACAGCAATGGACAGCCTTTCTACGGGTTCGCTCAGTGGAGCACAGAAAGAAGAACTAATGGATCAGGTGAAACAGCAGATTGCCATTGCAAACGCGCAGGAACTATTAACGAAGATGTCGGAGAAATGTTTCAAAAAGTGTATTAACAAACCTGGCACAGCGCTTGATAATTCTGAACAGAAGTGCATAGCAATGTGTATGGACCGGTACATGGACGCGTGGAACTTGGTGTCACGAACATACAGCAGTCGCATTCAGCGAGAAAGAAATAATATGTGAAAGCGATGATCTAAGGCCATCAAGGCATCGCAACACTGTAAATATAGGTGATTTAGTTGTTACAAAGCATTTAAAATTGTGAGTTGCGGCTGCTGGTTATGTTGATGTGTTCAATAAAAATATTTTAGGTTGTTACTATTTGTTTTCATTAAGTGCATGGCCTAAACATTATAATACTAATAAGAAAGAACTGCCTTTCAAACATGCATACTTTTTCAAGTACTTTTGTCAACAACTAACAATGTCCTAGGTCAATTTTTAAATGTAAATGTTTACTGAATGTGTTCATATGTATTACAATATTATTATTTAATATATATTATTACCTAAAGAATATGCCGCAGTTTAGTAAATACAAACATGATTTAAAATTTTATATTTGTTTTACAGTTTAGTTACAATAAATATTTGAATGGTTCTGTGTATAGGGTGTTTGTCTCTGAAGTTCTAAGTTTCGCCTCGAACCATTTTCTTCCTGTAGTGGTATAGCTTTTGTATCCACATCTCTTTTAGTTCTTCTTCACTTGGTATTTCCTGCAAGGCAAAAAATGTTTTTATAAATGTTTCTGATGCAAAAAAGTGTATTGGGCTATTTAATTTATGACTTGATGCAAAACAATAATTTATCTTTTATCTATAAAAGAAGAAACTGACTGACAGACTCACTGGCTGATTGATCATCGCACAGCTGCAACCGCTGGGACTAGAAGCATGAAATTTTGCACAAATGTTCCTTTGGTGCATAGGTGTGCACTAAGAAAAGATTTTTAAAGATTGCACCCCAGGTTAAAAATTTATATGAAACTGTTTGGTAGTAGCATATCCTAGGTAGTTTTGTATTACCATATCCTCTACGATGTCTGATGTCCACCACCACGCGGATGCAGTCAACCATAAATGCGAGTCTTTTATATTACAATCCTGTGTTGAGGATTTGGCTCATAAATCTACATTTGATGGAAACCTAATAAAGCTTCAGTGTTAACAATGCACAGAAAACTGTCATAATGTAATGTAGGTAATCAAAAAAAAATTTTGGTAAGTAGGCCAAAACCTCCTTTCTAAGGAGATGCTTTTGTCCAGCAGTGGACTGTTAAAGGCTCTTGATGAAATAGATGAAATCTAATTAGTAGTAGTAATCATTTTTTCCTACCCAATAAGGCAACCCTATTTATGTAAACATCATTAATCATTATCATTAATTCCACAGACCTGCTGTATATGAATTAATGATAGTAATAATGTAATTTATTTTCTCACTACAATACAATACAACAACTTACAACAAGCAGTTACTTAATAAGTTATTTGGGTAAGTATATATTGTAAGAGACTGGTGCCTAAGCTAGGTTCTAGGTCTGTGTTTCAGGACAACAGGTTCCCACCCCTTAACATTTCCGTTTCCTAGATTATACATAGATATATTTATAGATTAAATTTTATATAAAGACAGTATGTCTTTATTTTAATGTAAAAACCGGTCAGGTACGAGTCGATTGTGCGCCGAGGGTTGTACCTACCCAGATTTTACGTAGATTTTCGCGAAAATTTGTAAGTACCAAATTTTATCTTAATTTTCAACTTTTTTAATTTTTTGGAATTATTCCTTTATTTGTGCTATAAGACGTTTCTTTTTGCTAAATTTCGTGATTCTAGGTCAACAGGAACTACCATATAAGTTTTCGACACAAAACCTATAGGGTACTTCCGGCTGACCTAGAATTGACAATTTTGGTTAAAAGCAAGGTCTTACAGCACAAGTAAAGAGAAAATTCTCAAAATTATAAAAAGTTGAAAATTGAGGTAACTTTTGGTACATACAAGTTTTGCCCTTATCTTTTTATCATGTTGACTCAGGACCTTGATTTTTATACACCTAATAGGGACCATAGACCTCAGTATCTGGTATAAACTTCAACTTGCTATGTCTACCCGTTCCTGAGAAAATCGGTGGTGACACACGGACAGACGGATAAGAAAGTGATCTTATAAGGGTTCCTTTGTTACCTTTTGAGGTACGGAACAATAAAAAGCAGGGTAAGTATGATACTAGTTTGTGTTTAAGTGTGTGTTTGTATATGTGTATATATATGTAGATAGACATATATATATATATATTATATATATATATATGTGTCTGTGTGTGTGTGTGACAGATATTTAGAAATTTTAACTTTCATTACTGTCTTACTTAACATTAATATGCTTTGACATGTTTCTAGAGTAACACTTTACTCAATTTTAGATAGAAAATAGTTTTAAGTGCAGTAAGAAGTAAAAACAGAGTTAATTATGTTGTTTAACTTACATCAACATTAATTATTGAGTCATCATTCTGAACTTTTTTCTCAGTTTCTGGTACAGTAACAGTTTGAGAATTTAAATCTATCACTATATTCTGTGACTGATGTTTCTTATTCCTTGATGAAGTAAATGATTTAGGAACAAAGGAGTCACTATTCAACTCTGCCAGCAAATTTCTATCATGTATTGTAGGCATATCTTCTTTAATTTCAACCTCCTTGTATTCATAAGTTGGTATTTTTGTCATAGTCAATCCTACTGCTTCAGCAGCCTTTATTGCTTTTTCCACTTTAGTTTCTATGTCATCAAGATTGATCTTTTTGGCATGAACTGCAATATTGTGTTCTGAAAATGAATTATATTAATATTAAATTAGTACACAAAGAAAACCGAAATAATATAAGTACTGTTAGATAAAGAAATGATCTGCAATAGTTTTACAAAATTTAACTAAACAAAGAACTGTATAACCCACCAATTTCAGATGAAGAAGAGCGACTGCTAGTAGAACGTGATTTCTTTGACTTCTTTTTAGTATGTTTTGATTTACTTCTTGAGCTCGAGATGGAACGGGATCGATCTCGTTTAGAACGTGATCGAGATGTTGAACGTCTCCTAGATTTAGATTCGTATCTATCCCTGTCTCGAGATAAACTTCTAGAATGACTTCTTCTTCTATATTTTGAACGAGAACCTCGAGAAGTCGACCGTCTTCTTCTGTGACTACTTATTTCGGATCGATCTCTGGATCTACTTCTGCGTTTGTGTTTGCTTTTTGATTTCTTTCGTTCATAAGAAGATTCGGAACTATATGACGAACTTCGTCGGTCCCGATAACGACTTTTCTCTCGAGGCATTACGGCATCATGTCTATTACTTTTTTTTAAACATTAAACACATACACAACAATAACCTTCAAATTCGGACGCTTATGACAAGACATTTCCCTCAATGACATATGTATGACATTATTGACATTATATTGATATTCTGTGCAAATTGAAAAGAAAAATCCTGAAAAGGGCGGTGTATAAATTAAAATCATAAACATCACAGCGTAGGAGATAGAGAGAATATTCACCTAATTGTGATTAAGTATTTCAATAGTTAGGTTTTATGAAAAATGTTCTGATGTGCTTATTAGCCCCTATTCCTTTTTTTTTCTGTGCGAAAATCCTATCGGATACCACCTACCGGTGGCTGTTTCGGACTCGAACCGTACGCCGTCTCGGGTACCAGTAGCCAGAAAGAAAATCCCTGGTACCATTAGCCCCTATCCCTATATAATATTTATTTAATATATTCCAGGTAGACAGACAATTGCTGTTAACTTTCAAGAAAATAATGCATATTAATAGTTTAAGTTGTAGTAAGTTTTCATTCATTTATTCAAAGAAGTAAAGTATAGAAAAAAATTACCGGTATTTTAAAAAAAATGATCACTACTTGTCTTGTAGTACATATTAACCTTGCTAGGTGTCAGGACTATCTATGCAGCAGATGTTTGGTTTCACGTAATTCCTTTTATTTTATTTTCTTATTTCGACTGTATTTCTAAATTTAAAATGATGTAAATGGGGAAATTGGATGTATTAAAACATAAACAAGTAGCAATACTTATAAATATAAAAAGAAATGAGCAGTTTATCCACTTTTTGTATTCGTTTTTATTGTCAGTTGACGTTTATGTTGTAGTTTGCGTACAAAGGAAAGTTGTAGGGCAGCGACCGTCAGTCGGCCTCGATGACGGAATGTGTGAAAATTTTAAGATGGTGATCAACTGTATTTTTCGTATATTAGTATTTATAAGTTAGGGTCTGAAGCTTTGTTATTGGGTTTAAATAGTTAAAATGTGCCTAAATTAGTGACAGCGATAAATAAAATCTCCTTAAATTGGCACAAGAGACGTAAAGTGTAGTACGTGTTAAGTGCCATCGCTGACATTGTTTCGTTAAAAATTGTTGAGCCCATCGCGATTGTTATGTTTAGTAATATATTGTGTGCATTTATAACGCCTTGTAAATGGTATAAGAGATTCTGATGTTTCCTAAGTCATGGAGCGGCAGGAGAGATCACACGCCAACATGGAGGCCACTGACTGTGTGGACACAAAACAGGTGAGCCCTATACGATTAATTGCCGGTTCTTACTAATTTCACCTTTGGCTAGCTCACATCGCCTCGGCGCTTATAAAATTTGCATTGGAATGTCCAGACTGAGGGCAGACTATTATAATACATGTAGTAAAAAAGTACATGTTTTTAAGTTGTTATATTTTGCGTTTTATAAATTCTTGTAGATTAACATTTTAAAATCGTACAAAACATACCTATATTGAAAAGATATATTGGTTAGTAAAAGAAGATGGAAACCAATAAAACAAATGCCTTAAAATGAATCAAGGTTTAAATGTGGGTGCTGAAACTGTCAGCCCACACTAACTGAATAAATTATTTGTATTAGAACATTGTTATGTACCATATATGTCACAGCATGCTGTCTTTGTCTTATTTATGTTGTCATAATGTCAGAGGTGGTCTTGATTATTATTTTAATAACTTGGAAAGCAAATGTTGAAAGAGAGCGCAATAAATTATAGTTTATGTAAATATAGGTAAGACTATAAAACTGTCCGTTCATGAATTTTCTTTGTGACCGTTTAATAAATAGCCAATAAGTGATGACCTAAGTGGAAATTGATTCAATTAAAAATAAGAATCGAGTTAAAAGAAAGTTTCAATTAATTCAGGTGATTTAAAACAAATCAATACGGTACATGGATGTTCAGAAAAATGCCTGTAAACTTTTTTCATGTTATTTCAATTATGTTTCTTATAAGTCTATGTATAAAACAAAGTTACTAAGAGAATAAATTTTAAATACATATATTAATTGAAACGATCACACATTGAGTTCTAGGTTTGAAGTGTTCAAGTTTTGTGCATTTCTTTAATCTCTTAAAACTCACTCTCATCCACAAACCTGTGTAAATAAAATTATTTTTCTTTCCTTGTGCTCCTTTCTTGATTAGCTTTCTTTTACAATGTGCTCTCCATTTTATTATCTTTAATTACTGAAGTATGTTTGGCAGTAAGGCTTCCTATCACATGAGAAGGGCCAAATTTGACAAAATATGATATTTTAATATATTTCATTAATGCTTGACTCTTATTGGTTGTGGTAATTTTTTTTCAATAAGAACCAGTAGTTCCTGAGATTAGCATGTTCAACAAAACTAACAAACTCTTCAGCTTTAAAATATTTGTGTAAATGTTAGTAGATAATAGATTATCTAGTACCATCAATATAAAACTTATTTAATACATATTTAATAATATGTGAATTTCTAGTTATGAGTTCAGTACTCTAAACCAAATGAGTTTAACATTACTTAATAGGAGTAATCAAAGAAACTAATAACTATAATACTATTTCATAAATACATACTAAGTAAGCAAAGAAATTTGTTTTCATTCCCTTAATAACTACACAGTTATACAAAAAAAAATTGTTGTGCTTTTACTTTATTAAGCTTAATAGTAAATAAACATAAATTAGGCAGTAAAAATAAGAAAAGAAAATGAAAGAACTTGAAAAAAATATATATATTAGCATCATTTCTTACTAGTAGCATTCCCAGATTGTTATATGACATATGACATGAGGGTCAAAAGAGGGCAACTTAAAAGTAACGAGCGCGTTGACAGCTTTCGAGGTGGGAGTAGGTACACTCTTTTCTTAAACGCTTGAAGGTCTTATCGGTCCGGCAATTACCCTGACGAAAATTATTTGTGCCACAGTTTAGTTGTGCGAGGCAAAAAGTTTCAGGTAACAGAATGCCCATCTGGGAATGCTACCAGTAAGCAAGTTAAGCTGTGTTGACAAAGGTAATCCTTTTTCTTTTAGAGGCCACTCGGCTGGTCATAAATCATTTCTATGTTTATCTGTCTTAAATTTTATCTCTTGGCTTCATCTTGTTTTGATCCCTAGATTTTATGTACTGAATAATGAGAGAGATTTTAAATTTCATTTAAAGTATTAGCTAAGCATTATAATATATATCAGCTTTGTTTACCTACAAACAGTGGTTAACTGTCATTGCTATTAAAGCTAACTTTAGCAAATTAAGTTACAAAATAAACTCTGTTCTCATACATTACAAAAATACTATTATAAATTGAATTCATTAAAACCACTGACAGTTAATTATAATTTAAACTAAAAAAAATCTTTAGTTTAAATATTAATTAACCATCAAAAAAGTCCACTTAAATTCTCCTCCAACATATGCTCCTTTTTTTTCAAGTACTGGTATTAGATTTATATAATTTTATATCCAAATAAGTCAACTATCACTACCAATGATTATGATTTTACATTTAATTTAGAATGTGTGTTTTCTTGTGTTTGAATGATAGTGTAAGAAAATGTTCAGTCAGTGGAACTATTTTTTACATTGAACGAATTTCTGACGGTTATTTTAAATATGTATTTGATACTAGTTTACTCCTGTAAATATTAAGATAAGTTTAGGGCATTGTACATTCCAACTGGTGGTAACATACCATGGGCAATTTAAGAAATAAGCCAAATAATAATCCTTTTTTAGCTTAGTAATAATTACGCAAATATGCATACACACATACACTAAACAAGTTATTCATTTATAAATTAAACATAAATATGTACATGTGTCCTGCAAAAAACCGAAGTAGGAAACTTTTCACGTTCAAAATTGTCATACAGCTGGCGACTATATGGCGCCATTTTTAAACGCACTGAATTTTTTTTCGAAAATAAATTACTGCCAGTGTCATTAATAAAGAACTGGCAATATTACAATCCATTTTCGGGTAGTCGTGTAAAACTGCCAAAGTATGTAAGTCCTCAAATGCCAAAATTGAACAGTCAACAAGCTAATAATTGAAATAAAAAACCCGACTGCGTGAAAATGTATAGGTACTTGCAATGAGGGTTTCTGAAATGTTCCACGTGAGATGGCAGCACTGTAGCGTCAGGTCTAACCACCTGTCAAAACACATACACGATTTGTATTTTTCGATCATTTTTTTGGTTTATTTATTCTTAAAAACGTTACAAAAGGAATACTGATTTCTAAAATTCCACAGTGTTGTGCAGTGCCTATGTGTGCAAATAAAACTTTTGCGCCTCTCTTTTTGAGCTCAATCTTCAGTTCGGCAACCTTTTGTCTGGCCGTAATCTATATTAAACTCAATAACACTTCCAAATTCATAGAATTTCACTAAAATATTATACGTTCGGTAAGAATCTGTGCTATCTGACAGCTGTTTGAACCTGACGCATACGAAGCGCCGTCTGGTGGCCGAAAAAGTATCGAAGACCCTTATTTACAAATAATATTCGATTTGAATTTTTATGATTTTCATATACCCATATTCACCTATTCATATGTCAGTGTAAAAACATTTGCAGTTTCATTTTTCCAAGTTCCAAAAATGCAAATGTTACAGTTACAGTCAAAATAATTTTAAAAGTCGTGCGGTTTTTATGACAATGTAATGTAATACCATGTATATTTTTGTTAATTTTCGAGAGAAAATTATTGACGGTTTGACACCTTATATTAATGTGTAATCTGAAAACAGTTAAAGTGAACTTGAAGTTGATATAAGAGTAGAGAAGTAACGTATGACTGGAAGCATGGATTAAGGCAAACTGCCACCCATTACTTATAACGGCGTAATCATTCCCTTCAGTCCCTCTGTTAAGAACCTAGGCCTATTTATCGACTCCAAGGTCAGCTGGCAAACCTCCTTCCTAAGGAGAGGCCTATGTCCAGCAGTGGACTAGTAAAGGCTGTTGATGATGATGATGATGATGAAGGTCAGCTGGCAAACCCAGGTCACCAGCGTCAGCCAGAGTCACAGGTACGCTACGGGCCTTCTATGGGCTTAAAAACTTCCTTCCTTCCGAGACGAAAGCGGTGCTAGTACATACCCTTATTGTCTCTATCTCGGATTATGGTGATGTATGCTATTATGACCTGAATGCAGATCTCAATAAATATGACCGCCTTCTGAATAACTGCATTCGATTCGTCTTTAACCTTCGCAAATACGACCAGGTTTTCTCCTCTCGTCGCGAATTGAACTGGCTCACGATTCATCTGCACGCTCTCACTACCCTCTATTCCATACTCAATTCATCTATTTCCCCCTTCCTACCTGACATCCTCATTTGAAGTTCTATGTTCCAATCACAACAGAAACCTACGTTCCTCAAACAATCCACTTCTGATATGCCCCACTCATACTTCCGCATGTGTCCACTCTTCGTTCCTAATCCAATCTGTCCTCCTCTGGAATGCTCTGCCTTTAGAAACCAGAATAGTACCCACCCAGGACAAATATTGTGTGATGAGCACAGTCATTTGTTCTGTGTCTGCGTGTAATTTATCTATAACATGTATGTATTTAACAATATATGAGTATGTTTATCAGCGGTCTGGTTACCATAGCACAGGCTCTGCTTAGTTTGGGATCCGACGGTCGTGTGTGAGATGTGCAAAGTTATTATTATCATTATATGTATGTATGTAACTCAGCAAGTATATATGTATCTCAGTATGTATGTATGTATATCTGTCACACTGGTTCTGTCTCTATCCTTAATTATTATTATCTCTTTACATATAAACTTAATTTCTAGTGCACTTACTCAGACATTACCCCACAATGAATTCTGGTTTGTGCAAAAATAATTAAATAAATAAATAAATTGACGAGTGTTAGAGGAGAATGGAAGCTAAAAACTGATTGAGCCGACCCAAATAAATTTGGGAAAAGGGTAAGAAGAAGAAGATTCGCTTTTAAAGGTCTGTCATGTAGTCGTGACCGCTTCGTGCTGGATATATTTTACTTTGTCATATATACATGACTGAGGCGGTCAAAAGGTTAAACGACATTTATAGTAAGTATGTACCAGGCTAGGACACACCTTTTTTGGCATGGTTAGATCTATACCGTTGAGTTAGCATTAATATAGTTAAGCCTAGAAGATTAGTGGTTTAAAAAATAACCGATTTCTTATTGATTTACCGTGCGCGTGCCGTGTCCATCGCGTGATAGGGGGCTGCAACACATGCGACTGCGACATCGCCAAGGACTTGCAACGCAGGAGTAGGTTTAGGTTATGTCAGCGCTAACTTCCACTGTCTGCTGCCTTACCCCCTTTGCCTAACCATATTTGATATGATCCTAACAATGCCGCTTTGGATATTCGTTCAAGAAAAGAGCCTACTGAAGCTCTTGGCAATCCAAGGTCTTTAAGATTATAGAGGGATTTAACTGCTGTAACCTCGCCCCCACTTCCAACGCACAACGCAACGTCTCATAGCAGTGAATATACTACAAATCTTTGTGATATTGTATTATGAATAATGACTATATTTTTAATAATTGTTTAGTTATTTAGTGAAAGAAGTTTTTCGGTTCCTAATTTTTCGGCGCCTTTGAGATGTGAAAGGATTGTTGAGTGTCAGTCACGCAAGTGTTCAACTAGAGGTTTCTCGCTAGCAGTATATTCAGAATGTATGGCCTCTGCGCGAGTTTTTAATTATACATGTGGATGTCATACATATTATGAAAATGGACCAAAATATGCAAAACCACCATAATAAAGTGGTTAAAAGCATTTTCTTCAAATGTACAGAAATATACAAATGCATAATAAGTGATTATGTTTAGTAATAGTCAATAAGATGTTTTAAAACACTTTTACTAAGTTATCAGACATCTAATCTGGTGTAACAAGTAGAAAAACAGTGGTATGTCTGTTCAAAAGGAACTCTTTAATGAAACGTAAAGCTACGACGGAAGTGCACACAAACCTACCTCGCTTATCTAAGTTTAACGACGATATATCGTTATCGTGGTAGGAGGCTAGTACTTGCGCTGGCTGTTCGAAGAAGGTGGCGCGCGCGCAGTTGAAACGCGACGGGCGCGCAGCACGCCGTGCGCGCGAACCGCGAACATTTACCGAACACGCCCGCGCGAGTGATGTCATCAGGAGAACCAGTGGTTACTGTGTTGTGAATGTGCATTAACTAAAATGGTAGCTATGGTAGCATCAGCGTCTGGATATGGCACCTTACGCCGCTTTCTTAGCGTGCCTGAGGGACAGCATAACGTGCCCGAGGCCGGGGTCGTGCCCAGTACCTCGGTAGCCGTCTCGGTAAGATATTACTTGCCTGTTGTTAGGAACAGTTAAGCGTGACGATGAATGATAGCGTTATGCGTTTGGAATGCCGATAATGCCTCGTTGATGATATGGATAAAATTGTTAGGTGTGACAGTTATGTTATTATGTACCACAACTTGAGTAATGAATCGATTTAATTGATAAGGTTGCTCAAAGGTTACTACGATACTATATTATATATTTATACAAAATGTTTGTGTTGGTTTAACATGCGTCGAATATGTATATCCACTGTAATTAATAATAGGAAAAGGCTATTTCAAAACTCGTCGAAATTTAACGCGTTGAGGAATAAATTATGATGCACATGTAGCAATGCGGAGAATATTATGTTAAGTAGACGGCTTATAAACAAAAAACGATTCTGTAGAAAGTTGTACATGGCCACTTCCATTAGAATGTAAACGTGCGTATTTAAATTTGCGAGTGCCGCAAAAGTGTCTAGTCTCGTGCTAGTGAGTAGGTAACAACATATATATATATATTTTATTGTCTGTTTCTTGTGTGACCACTATTGGATTTTGATGGCGCAGTCATTATTACCGAAATCTTTAGAGCTAGTTCGGCTCAGTATTATGGACAGCTAAAAAAAGATTCCGGACAAATCCATCAGTCGGCTGACTGTAACCGTCCACGGTGAGGTCATCAACCTTACTTTCCTTTTTATTATTGCGCTGTAATATGAACATCGATCGAAATGTCGGCCTTGGCCTCCCTTGAACTATTAAAATAATTCTTTTCATTGATGATGTCACCCTCATCTGTCAGGGAATATACGGGATGGATCTGGCCAAGGTTATGCTAACAGACCGTGGCTGTATCTCTAACTGATCACGGCTCGTTGGCCACCATCCGCGAAAGGAGCGCATCACTGTGGTTACCGACCCAGATCAGCGCTTAGCGCTTACTCGCTTTTTACCTTATCCAAATTAAACTCAGTCGTGTCCTCTCTTGTACCTAATTGAAACCAGTGCTCTAGTTAGTTAACTTTTCGGCAATTTACCACATCGTCGCATGCGTGTCGTGGGACAAGTAAGCAGTTTGTTAGCACATTTTAGCTGTAGCGAATTATCCAAATGATTGTTTTGTAATAAATACAAGGTCAGTTTCTTTCCCTTCCTTGTATTTACCATGTTTGAAAAGTAAAATTATAGGCTATAAATTTTAATATTCAGCCTCGTACTGAAATTGCCGTGGATCCAATACGATCAGCGCGATAATAACACGCTGCCAATGTAAAACGTAGAAAAGTAATTCAACGGAATTGTTTGCCGGGTTTCCGTTCCCACTGGTTTTTTTAATTCCGATAAAACAAAATTTTGAATAAGCTATTGATACAATTGTAAACTTTCGCCTTGCACTTAGAGAATCGTGACGTAAAATTGAATGAAACAGATTAGATTTCTTCAACAACCGATTCACTAGATATTTTTATTGATAAATATTATTTTACGCTTAAATAACAAATCTAACACCGTATATAAAACTTGTCAAACCAGATCATGAACGTTCTTGAAATATTCATTTGTACACAAACAGACAGGTTTGTCTTTAGAATCTAATTAAAATATCGACAAAATGTGTGTTGATGCATACCAAAGTATTGGGCAAAGAAAAATTTGCATAAAAATGTTATATCAAGTTGCTCTGGCCAATGTTTGTAACGTAATTATCACAATATACTGTAAACAAGGTGTGGTGTGATTGACTAAGTAGGTTCAAGCTGCGGTAGTTGAAAAAATTGCGACATGACACTGTACCGTGGTTCCACCTATGGTGCGTACTTCCGCCCACGGCAGTCGTATATGGCAAGGACCTTGTTACGATTGCCATACGTAGCCACATCCACAGAACTAGATTTTGCAATCTTATCGTTTATGTCGCCTTGAGGTAAGGTTACGAATTGTGCACATTTTACCATTGCCTTCTTATTTCTGCTATATTCGACTGATCGACAATTCCCAGTTTCTTAAGACTGATTTATATTTATATTTTCGTCGTTGTAAATGAGGACGTCCAATTATTATCCAATGCGAATACATCAAATAGTCTTTATAGTTGGGCTTTCGATCAAAGTAGGCTGCGGGGCCGAGTGAGGTAGCTCTATGGCAAATATATTACGTAAGATTAACTCTACAAATAAAATATATTGGTAACGGTTTTAATGAAACTACGAGTAAGAGTTTCAGCTTGATCAAAGTGAAATGAATGGACGAAATAAATTATAATAAGCATTCACCGGTCGATCAAAGATTAGAAACGGTCTGAGAGCAAGTGCACGGTATCTGTGAAGATTCGTTCCCAGATTAGTATACTGGGGAATTTCTTCGTAATTACAGCACGTGTGCAACGTCTAACAATCGCAGTGTCAAAGAAAATATTAATTAAACTCGTCACACTCGCTACTTAAGTGTTATATCTGAGGGGAAACTTTAATTTAGCAGAGAAATCTCTTTATTTCTTTGCTAAAATATGCTTAGTGAGTTTTACTTTTGTTGTGTGTTTAGTACTTTCGCTCAAAGAGTCTGTTAATAGAAAATGATTTTATACTAATATAAAACTGTGTTTAAAAAAAGCCGTGTCCTGTACATTACATATTTAAAAGCTGACTAAACAAATGAAAATATGTATTTTTTTATTCACGTCTGTTTGTTTATTGGTTTGTTTGTTTATTTGTGTGTTTCTTCGAGCTTCACGCAGAAATCAGTAAGTAAATTTGATTATTTTATTACAGTGTTAAAGGTAAATTAAAAATTAAATACTGCTGCTAGTGCTACTTTACCCGGTTAATAAAATTGAGAATACAACTTAAAATCCAATTTTAGAATGTTCTGCCACTTATCTAGCTCCGTCATACATTTGAGACTTAAAACAAAATGTTCTAGATGTACGACATTGTTCGGTCGGCCTCTGAATGCGTTTACTCGTTTTTTCTCTCGCTCCCTTCCTTTCAACCGTAGACCGCAGTGCATCTACAAATGAATATAGGCCATATTTAGTTGAAGAAGTCTTTCTGTTAATGCGCCACGCAATATCTTTACCTTAAATATTAAACAATAATCTTACCATATTATTATTTTTATAAATTGAGTTATCTGGCTGTAATATAAATGTCAGTATATGCCATTGTTGAATATTTAGAGACTAGCCGTTCTCGCAGTGTTTTTGGGATAACGGTAGTGATAACGCCTTTTCCATTTGCTTCAGGGCTGACGTTACTGTTTCATACAATTTTTGACGTTGTAAGATTGGTCTCGTTTTATTTTATGCGGTTTCCGTCTTAATGAGGTTGAGACTAGAATAGAGCTGATAAGTGCCGATCTTACCTTATGAGAAATAATTAACTTTAAAAAAGTATTATCGACTTCAATGCGCCTATATCATACTGCATTGTGCCACCCTCGACGCTGGTATTTTTTCTTCAAATACGAATGGGAAAAAACAGGAAGAACAAAAAGACAGACAAAAATATTTAAACTGGTTTTTAGGCATAGTTATATATATGGGTATATAGGCGTGCAAATAACCGTGTAAGCATGAAAAAAATCCTATTATTTTGATATTACAAACAGACACCTTAATTTTATTTATTTGTACAGATTTAATAGTATTTATGTAATATTTCATTATGAAAAAGGCCCCATATGTATAAGAAGTTGCTATAATGATTGGTTTACTAAGATTCATTATTCAATCATCAAGTAAAAATCACCAAATTTCAATCTTATTGAAAGAGTTATTCTAGAGGTCTTAGGCCCGTATTTTAAAAGTGTCTCAGTTGTGAATCTAGTTTTAAAACTAATTTTAAGTCGAGCTTTTATTATTGAACGTCACTTAAAACGAGATTCACCGATCCAACTAAAGTGAGTGTCTATCGATGTTTATGTCGAAATCTTTGTTTACGTGAGATAAGCTGAAACTAGTTTCAAGCGGTGTTTTCTAGGGCACTTTAGGGGAAACAAATGTGTTTTACGATGATTTGTTTCTGAATAATTACTTTACTTTATTTACGAAAGAATTACTTCATACTTGTCATACTATAATCAATTTACATTAATTGATATAAAATTCACAGAATTTCACATTTTACACACACAATACTTGTTTAAATTAAAATCACCACAACCTTATGGTTTATGTTAATAATATAATATTATTCTAGTTATATAAATTTAAGAAAATAAAAACATTGTTTGACATTTCAACATGACAAGTGTTAATAAATAACTGGAACGTTCCGTTATAGCCTATATCTAGTCATTTTAATATTTATTATATTTAATTTCGGACGAACAACAAGCTTGTTAATATTGCTACACTAACCAATAGTGTACTACAAGTATATACAAATTAACAGAAATAATGTTTGTAAAAGAAAATTAGTCTTTAAATAATTAGCTGCGTAATGCAGAATAATAATGTCAATCATGCGCAAACGTAATTCAGAACAGACTGTAAGTTCAAATTAATACTTGAAACTAGTTTCAACTGAGTAAAACTTAAAACTTGGATCTGTACTTAAAAATTATTTAGGCAATCAGAGTTTCAACCAAGACTTGAGACTATTTCAAAATACGGTCCTAAGTGACAAATTGATTGAGGTTTATAACATGTCAGAGAATTTATTTTCGTAATGCACTGATAGCGCAGCGCGGTTTAAGTACCCTGCTACTCTCAGCACTCAACGAGGTGTCTACTTACTCTCCATCCTAAGTGAGGAAAAATATTGATGTCATTTGTAGAAATTTGTCCTCTTTCCTAATTCGAATGAAGCTGGCAAAGTGCGTCTTCAGGTTGTTAACGCAGTTTGTTTTAGTAGATAGCAAGTTGCACCACATACTTGGTTCTGATAAAAGAGAAGGAAAAGAACGGTCTGTGCCGTGTTGTAAAATAATTTAAGATAATTATAAAATATTTTTACAACACCGTCATTACGTATTAAGTGTTATTATATTATTTAAAGTGGAATGCGG